ATCATTGTGTTACCTCCTAACCATGGAAGATCAGCATCTAGCCTGGGAGGTTTCTTCATCCCCTTCAGGGCAGTAGCAGCCACCAGCTCCACCCCTTACTTTTCCAGCCTTTATTGAATATCCCATCTGTGCTGATTGCTTGTATAACCACACACTTGACAAGATAACAACATTAAATCGTGTTCCCCTTCCCACTCATTCTGTCCCTGATTCACCTCGTGCTGATGGCCATCATCAGTGCAAGAGCAGGGAGCATCCAGGACATGAGTACCATCCCCAGGGGCCTGCCAGCCTTCCGAGAGATGGGGAGCTGTGCACATTATTGGTGAAGAAAATGGTCCTCCTGACTCCAGCACAGTGGGGGAATTTTCTTGCTTCCTTTGCACAGGTTGTGCAGGGAACAGAAAACACCCATAATTCAGAGGCCCTAGGGAAGAGTGGCAACATGGTTAATGTCTGGAGCCCGCTCTTTCGCAGGAAGACAACTAAATACATGTTTAGCCTTCACATTGCAAATGGTAAGGCCAGAATTAAACAAAGCACAGGCTTCTTTTTTTTTAAAAAAAAAACTGTGTACAGGGGTGTGGTCCTATGAACAAAGTGATATGTGGCATCTTCCAGATATAAAGTAGCACCCTAATGCCACAAATGATCCATTCCCTGCTTGGAGATACCATGCTTGTGTGCTTGCTGGCTCATGGGTGGAGTTAAGGAGCATGTGAAAGTCCTTATTTTTTTTCTAGGGAAGCTCATCATGTTTAAAAATTCACAAGAAGTAAATCACCTGAACATCAGGCATGTCTGTCTACTGATTCAGACACATTGCACTGAGTTAATTTCTAATGCAGCCATAGCTTCACTAGCACCAAGATCACTCAACAGTAAGAAAAGGGGTAGCAGATATTTTACTAGCAAGATGCAGGACAACAAAGCAACCAACAGCAGCTCCCTGTGAGAGATGGTAGTGCTGATAGAGCTGCTCTTCTGTGGCTCTAAAAACCAAAATATGCTGACTTCTGGGACTTCTCTAGCAACTTTGCTCAGACTGCTTGTGGTTTCTGTGCCATGCAGGCAGCCTTAGTCTGCATGACTTGAGAGAAGACATTTAAGGTGAGGTACCTGACTCTCCAGATCACATCTTTCCTGATGGTATGGTTTCTCTGGTTAGTCATGTTAGCTGGATCAGGCTGCATCAGTAGGATTACAAATATTGGTACAAAAAGTCAAATACATGAAATATAATTTTTCTTTCACATCAGTATTTTATGGAGGCATTTGATTATAGAGATGAATTGGAAGTGTAGTTATGCAAGGAGGATGCTAGAGGCAAATAGGATTTGTGTGAGGTTTTTATCTAATCTCTTCTTCCAAGATGATTCTGGGCAAATAACTTCTTTGTTTCTAAGTTCCCCAGCTGTTCACAACAGGGATCAGAAAATTTCCTATCCTGTGAGAGCAACTAGGCAAAGTGCAAGAGGAAGAAAACTGCTGTTCCCCTTCTGAATATTACCAAAGGGGCACTGACTTTTTTTATATCTAAGGAGCTCTCCAGATTGAGAGATTTTTAACTGATTTATTCACATGTGGTTCCTAATGAACACAGATGGGGATGAGGATGAGGAATCTGTTAGTTTCCAAGCCTCCTGCTGAGGACAGATTGATAAAGGCAACAGGAAGCATTTCCTTATGGATGGAGCAACAGTATCCCTCACATGAGGTCGCAAGGACAGTAGAGGCAAGCTGCTGGAATAAATGATTTTGCATTAGGATAGAAATCTGTGCAAAATTGCACCTTGGAATCCCTTTCAGACCTATCTTCCCCAAGAATGTAGTGCCATTTAAATATGTTAACCTCTTGCTGACATAGAAGACACGTAACAATTTCTTATTCTTCTGGATAAGAAAGTAGGATTTATTTAATGATGCTGTTGTGTATTGATTGTATGGTATTTTAGCATTTATCAAAACTCACAGTGTCTAACATCTGCCCCCCCCAAACAACGAATATTAATAACCATAATCAATCTGAAGCTATTGATAGGCTATAGGGCTCTGGAGAGCTCTTTGTTTTGGTGAAATATTCAGGAATATATGTTAAAATGAATTCCAGGAACTTTCCAGAAAATGAGCCATCCTAATTATAAACAATTCTGTTTTAAAAAGCGTTTACATAACCTTGAAGATTCTGAACAGTTTGCCTTTAAAAATTAGCTAAAAAATCAGTCTGTGTGTCTTTCTTTATAAAGTAAAATTGCATATGAATGTGAAATGATTGAAAAAAGTTGCAGCATATTTGTGGATAATGACAGTGTCAAAATTTAGTGCTTTTCTCAACTGAAATCTGCAGGAGTTCATCAATTACCTGCTTTAGCTTTGGATCTGGTAGTTATTCTCAAAGTCATATTCACTTACAAGCATGCTGACATGTGACACTGATGTTAGGAACACCCCTAATAACCGAGGAGCTGAAAAGATGGTTACTGAAATATAAATAAAATGCTTAAATGGTACTCCTCCAAATGTCCAACAGCTCCGTTTTTTCTGGAGAAGATCTAATAAATAAACTGGTGAGGATTTGGGAACTGTTTCACAATTTGACTTAAACATAATGACATAATGCCTGGCATTCTTATTAGAGACTGTTCTTTTACCATGTCTTGTTAGAACATAAAATTATGCCTATTATAGGTAAAATTTTAAAGAGACACCTATTGTGCTCCAAATAAATCTGGGACTTAAAATCTGTACATCCAGGGTTGCTGTGAGAAACTGTATCAGAAGCTTTGCTGAAATCTAAAAAGATTACATCAACTTTGGTGAAGCAGATGGGTAACTTTGACATAAAGTTTGGCAATACAACTCTCTGAACTGCCCTTTAAGACCAAATAAAGAACATTTTGAAAGCAGCTCTGTCTCCTGCTGTTTTCCTCTGATGTGAGCTGGAAGGAAAACTCAAGTGGACACCCAGGAAGAGCTACATGACAGGGAACCTGCTCAATCCTGCAAATCTTGTCCTTGCCAAACAAGTTCCTTTCACATATATGTGATTTTCTTTGCTTCCTTGGCAATAGTAAGTCAGCTGGAAAAGTGCCTTATGTTTTGGTGGCTAAACCAAGAGGGACCCAATGCAATTGAATTTAGGCAACTGAATCATGCCCTAACTGTCCATCAGCTTGAATCCAAAGAACCAAGCTACCGCTCTGTACGTTTTAATTGGTGCCTCATATGTTCTATATGTATTCTTTTGCTGTCCTCATCTATGGAATGACCACTGTGCTGTTTTCTATCACATTACTGATAATCTAAGCATACATTTTAAATCAAGCACCGTGAGGCATTTTGCTATCTGTACCGTACCGAGGCATTTTCTGAGCTGCATCTTTCTTCCATGAACTACCAGAGCTGTCTGCCATGGGACTTTGTTCCTCCTTTGATGGACTGTCAGTCACTAAATTCTGCTTCTTAATTTAGCATCTAATTGCTTATTTGTTGTTTTGTATGTTTCCTTATGACTTCGGTTACACAACTGTAGTGATTAGTGCTTATGTTCCTGAGGCTTGCATAGCAGTGCTTTAGCACTGCACAAGGAGATGAAAACATCCTACAACAGAGCAGGCATCGCACTCCGAGGATTTCTAGCTTTATCTCCTCAAGTTGCATAGAGCTTTGCTACGGGAGTGTCTCCACGAATGAGGTCAGGACTAATTCATTATAATTGTTCTGAGTGAATTTCACAGAAGAAATGGAGAAAAATGTTCATTTATAAGATTATGTGGCTTTCTCTGCACTAGGGAACATGGGAACTTCTCAGTAATGAACACTTATTACTGCCATGATCAGCTGTAATGTTTGCATGATGAACAAAAATGCCTTGTGTTTGATTTGGCTGCCTTCAGTATTTCTGTATTCTTGACTGCATTTTTGTAAAATATTGGAGCGACTTTGACAAAATTTATCAGAACTTACGCTAAAAATGAACTTCAGCCTGCTAACTTCTGTTTCCAGATGTTTCCTCTAATTTGCCTTATTATCACCCATTAAGAAGGTTGTTCTTCCACTGAAGTGATTTCCTGCAGGTGCCAGCGCTGTGTGGAAAGCACAGTTCTCATGGCTCCAGCTGCTGCTGCTGGGGCAGAGCTGGGGAGCACACACCAGTTATGAGCCCCAGCTCCAGACATTCTACCTAACCTGAGCCCTGCCATTTCTCTCCTGAAAATGCCTCTGTATTTTCATGGGCTCTTTTCCAGCATCTGTAGTGTCAACAGTGGGTTTCACCTTCAGCAGCAGCAGCAGTGCTGCCATTTGTACTGATCTGACCCACACCTGCCAGGAGCTCTCAAAACCTGGAAGTGCTCTGGCTCTGTTTCCTCTTCCTCCTGCTAAACCCTACCTAGATCTGGCAGTGCCACACTCGTTTCTGGGGTTTGGCTCGGGCATCTGTGATGTTTATGAAGGTGTTGTTATACTGTGGGCAGGAAAACGCAGGAAAAATCCCTTTCCTTGGAGCAAAGCATTTCCTTGAGTTTTAGTATTATAGGATATTTTTTGTAACAGTATCACACAGCAGCTGGTTCCCATGGAAACCAAGAAAGGCCTTGCCACACACAGGAGAGAAGGTGGATGTTGGGCTGGCCTGGCAGTGGGCTGCCTGGAGCAGCGCAAGATGTCCTTGTGGATGGGCTAGCCCAGGGCACTGCCACTTTCAAAAGACAGCTCCAAAACTGCTGGATTGTGGAAGCTGAAAGCCAGTGGGTCACCCTTCTACTCTCCCTGGTTGGTTTGTCATGGCCACTTCAGCATTTTTAGAACAGATAACCGAAGCTACCCTGACCTACAGTGCAACCAAGTGAGGCTTCTCAGAAGAGTGCAGAGATGAGAGGCCCACCAAAGCCATCTGTCATCCTGTTTTTAAACCTCTTACTGTGTGTGGAAGCCATAAGACTATTGAAGGGCAGAGGAGCTTAAAAAGAACAACTACAGAGGTGAGAGCATCCTCCAAGGCCTGGGAATCCACCCCCAGAGCAGGCTGCCTTGGCTGACTGGCAGGAGTTTGGGTGTGTGGCAGGTCTTGCTGATTTCTTTTTTTTAATCTAGGAACAAGAATTGGAAGAAACACAGAAACATACTCACACAAATCAGTCTCCTCTTTTATGAGTCTTATCTTCCAATGCCATCCAGAACAGAGAAACTGAAAATGCAGTTGCTGACAGAGAATTTTGTTAGACCAGTATCTGGTTTGCTACTAGCATAAAGCTAAAAGGACAGTGAAACAAGATAACAGAACAGCTTTGCAGCCATTACGAACAGTAGACACTGTTTTGCATTTCAGGAACACTTTTTGGCAGTGCTTTATTGTTGCATTTTGTTAAGCACTATATGGACTTTCATTTCCACTTACTACAAAGCCCTAAATCATACCTATGTAACAGTAACTGCGTGTAGTGGGAATGCTCAGTCACAGCTTGAACCACTGATTGAGCACCTGGTGGGAAGGCAGGGCCAACCCAGGGGAACTCAGGAGCATGCAATGCATCTGAGTGACTGGAAGGGGTGGAGCCAGAATCCACCCCATCCCATACCTCATTTAAGGGTTGGCAGTGGAGGCAAATGTATCTTGCTGGAGATCCCTGAAGCCTTCCAAAGGTACGTGGATTCTTTCCTTTGTTTCTGTGCCCATGGCTCTTGCACTTGAGCAGGTCCTCACTTGCTACAGCCTAGGACTTTGTTACTCTGCCATCATTGTTGTGTTTTCCATTGCATTACAGTGGGTACAGTAGCTATGCAGCCTGTTTCCTCCTGGTTCTCATTCAGTGTCTTTACTGTGCTTTTTATGTCTCTTCAACATAAGAACATCAGTGACTTTTACATTTGAGCTGGCTATGCTATCATAGCTCTTGCTAGTCCTTACTCAAATAATACTGCGTAACACATGTGAATTAATTTGTTGAAAAAGAGGAAAAATTCCAGTACTCTCGAAGCCCTCGCTTTCAGGATCCTGTAACTGTAGTAATGAATAAGTTGAAATATAGAAGAAAAATAAACTCAGCTGCAGCTATTTAAATGTTCAGCAGCTCCTTCCAGGCAAAGAACAACAAGCTATTGCGTACTCGTGCTGGTAAAGTTGGGAGGAGGCAGTGTTTCCCACAGGCAAATTGGGAATGGAAAAAGCAGAACAAAACCCATAAGCTTCAGAATCCCAGGCAGGAAATGCAAGTCATTTTCTGTTTGAGATGATTTGTTTTGTCATTAGGTGGTTTTAATTGGGCTTTATTCTTATTCTGGGAGGAAAGCCCTGTTTTGCTTGAGCAAACACTAAGGACCATTCAGACCTGGGAAACAGGATAGAAGCAGCCTAACCCACATTCACCATCACCCTGGAGCAAAGCACTTACTGGGAACAGTCTTCTGCTCCTGACCCTCCCTGCTGGGGGTTGATCACGTTTAGCTGTAGCCTAATAGGCTTTGCCCATGCCCCAGCTCAGCAGGTAGGTACCTGACACACATTTAGCCTATATATACCTTTTGGGTACCGAATGCTGCCTTAAAGTGGGTAAGCACTTTTGGCCATTGGATGTCACAGGTGTGTTTTCTGGACCAACAGCTACAACAACTTCTCACTCATCTACATTTTCAAAATTTCTGCTTTTAAGAGATGACAGAAGTGAAATCTTGAAGAGTGTAGAGCGGAAAATCCCCAGGCAGAAGAGATCTTTCTATTTGCATTATTAGTTTTAAGAGAAGTACTCTGTCTCCTTTGTCAAATCTTGTTTCAGTAAGCTCCTCGCACCTCTGCAGCTCTCACAGTCATTCAGGTCCAGTTGGACAAAGTAACGCACCTATACTTCAGCAGCTTCTCTACCAGCTCCTATCCCAGCCACTCCTCTTCAGCAGCATACGTGGAGATGCCATGCTTAGCTCACAAAGCATAGCTAAACACAGAGCCCAGGTTCCTTGCTGGCTGTCAGTGATCTGTCACTAACAGCTGAGCCCCTTGGGGCATTACCTAGTACTTGTTTAGTCTGCTGCAAAGCCAAGACTACAGATCTGGGTTTTGGAGCACATCAGCATGACATGTAATACCTGCAATATAACCCAAGTGTACTCCAAGTGGCTGCATGCCCACAGGTAGTGGTTGGCATGCAGAATACGAGAACTTTCAGAAACTAGCCTTTTAAAAACTAACAGCTTCTAATTAATTATGCTTCAATCAAACCAAACTGCCCAAATGAGAATATAGCCTATATACAGCTGAAGTAACTACAGCAAAGCTACCCACCTTTCACGTAAGGCATCATTTGAAAGAAATGTCAGTTCACACAGCACTGATAAACACAGGCTACAGGTACCGGGAGAATAAGAAAAGCACAGTCAACTGTCTTTTTTATAAAAGTATTTTTAATAAACAGATGGATTTAAGATGCTAGACAACTTGTTGCCATGTACAAGGTAACAAAAGTCAAAATTCTTTGAATTTTATACAAATACTATGTAGTACAGTAAACTTGAATACAAGTTTACAAAACAAAATGCATCAGTGATTATTCAGCTTGTAACCAACTTCCAACAGTGAAAATTACTATGTATCAATAGTGATCAGAATTGCATTGCAAATTTTAGAAGTAATGCAAGTATATTTTTACCAAGCCACTCTGAAGTTTCTGGTGCACGCTGACAGTACATTGGATTTTTTTGGCTTGCTGAACAGAAAATGGCATTTAAATAAAACGACAGAGTTAAGGAATACACTACGTATCAAAAGTATTACCTTACAGAAAACTAAACGAGAATGAGAAAGTAAACAGAGCAGAACCCTGAAGTAGCAAATTATTTTTCTACCCGTTTTGATGGAAAAGACTCCACAGGTGTCCAGCTTTCTCACAGCATTTTGGAGTGTTCTAGTCCTAGCACAGTGTGGTCATTAGTAGACTAAAGTAATCCCTGCTTGGCAGTAATGCTGGTGAAAGGTAACTTGCTCTATTGCTAACAAATCGGAGTAACCGCTGGCAGGGTGACTTCTTGCGGGCATCCAGCGGAGGCCAAGTTCACAGCACGTGACTGAAGTTACAGTACCACTTGCTTTGATGAAATACCCAACAGCTTCAGGGTTCAGGTGTCAGTTTCCTCACAGGACTTACAAATGGATGTATTTAAACAAAAAGTGGAGACAGTATTTTCATCTGTACAGCTACCGATAAAATGAACAATTGTTACAAACTTTCCAGTCTGCTTTATAAAAAATATTCTTAGTTTTACTTCTAAACAAAAACTGTGCTGTGATCTGTCACTTTCTTGCATTGTACATACTGTAGTTGTGTTAATGAAGGTGTAGAGACTTGAGACCTAGAGCTCTGGATATCTTAGAAGCCTAAAAAGCTGGTTTTGGTACAGAAGAGTTAGGTAGCAATGAAAATTTATTCTATTTATTTTTCCTAAAACCTAGGAAGAGCTACAGTACATTGCTAGATCAGTGGCTTCAACCCTGAGCTGAAATAAAGGACCTGCCTTGGCCAAGAGAGTCACGTTACTACTACAGCTGCACAGGAGAGACGGAACGACCTACCTACGGTCTGTCACCTTAGCTGTGAGTAGTGCAATATTTCATTCTGTAATGCTTGAGAGCTGACTGGAGACCACCATGTTCATTTTCACACCAGGAAAAAATAAACTGAAAAACCCACCTCCAATTCAGAGATTCAAGTGAAAAACAAAACGAGTCAGTATGTGCAACTTCTGGAGACCAAAGAAATATCATGGTAGACTTGTCAGTCTTAAGCATTTCCCACTTGGCAGAAGAGATTATTAAAACACGTACCAAAGCACAGATAACAAGACTTCTACAACTATCCCACTCTTCTGAAAAAAGAATGGCTCTTGATTTTTCCCTCAATATTGAATATTAGCTTATCTTTCTGTCACTACGATGCATCACAGAAGATGAGTGAAAGCTTCAAGACTGTCTTCCAAAGGATTCAGCCCAACTGCCAGAAGAAAAACAACTCGCTTTTTTCAACCATTAGTTGAGTTGGCCATCATGCAAATTCTTACTAGAACATAACCTACTGTACCTTCCTGAAGGGTTCATGGCACTGACTACCCATGGCCTGGAGAATACACAGCATTAAGCATTCTTGCCTCCTAAGATTTTTTTTTTCCCTTTTGAACAACAGAAACAGAGTCAGTATTACCCTTGATGAAAAAACTAAACTGAGCAACAGATCAAAAATAAAGCTTGTAGAAATCCTTTATGCTTCTAGTAATGCACACTTCTTGGAGAGCTCATCAGTTTATAGATGTTGTTTAGTTACAGTTTAAGGCAGCGAGTCTTACAACATACACAAGCTCACCTCCCTCATATTTGTGCTACTGTATCCTTATGCGCACAACAGAACCTCACTAATTCACACTAATGACTGGAAGAACCATTAATTCTCTTGGTAAGTGAACAAGAATAAGGCATTCCATTATATATTCTGATCACTAATTATAATTTAGCTCTAATTATAATCTACCAGCAAACATACTTCTGTGTTTTAGAAAATAGCATCTCTTACCTTCAGACATAATTACGTGTGCAGATTAGCAGGTTCTGCTGTGTAAACACGCAGGTGCATAAGCAATTTTCGGGTTTTTCTTCATTACATCTGACAGGAAAGTTAATGCCACAGATAGAAACTGTGGGAAAATAAATTAAGATTTCTCTATAATTTGTGCAGATATGCACAACCAGGTGGTAATATATAGGTTAAAAAACAAAAACAAAACCCACTGATGTTTACAAACTTAAATGAAGCAAAAATCAGCAGCAGGAAGCAAGGCCATTCCCCAACCATAAATGGCTTGTATTATGCTATTCAAACTACATGAATAATAATAAAAATTAAAAAAAAATAATACAAGTACTAACTTTGTATATACAAGTTTTAAATCAAGTAACACAAACAGTGAAAAAACTGTTGATGTTTTTAAGAGGCGATAATCATAGATCTAAATTCTGGTTGAAGTAGACTGTAAATATGGACAGAAGATACTATGCAAACTGCATGGCTGAATTTAAAAGAAAAAACAAAATGTGAGGGATCAATGTGCAGTGTAATGAGATAGAAATTTCACTTCGTATGTGCAAAAATCCTCAACTTCATGAATGTAGAGGTCATACTTCAATAACAGATCTTACACAAAAATCAGTCTCCCTACATCCTGGAATCTACCTGTTTACATCAGCCACTTTGAACGTACGGTACCCTGTTCACATGGATAGCATTCAGCAGTTTCTAGCATTTCTCAGAAATTTAAGTTTCACCTGCCTTAAATCTTGAAAACAAAGGGGAGAGTTCATAGCCAGGGCATCATACCACTGCCTTCGAGTTACGCCAGTAAAACTCACATTCTCTCTTCTTCCATGGTGGCAGGAGTCCTTATAGGACTTGTAAACAGCAGTACACAATACTGTAAACAAATAATTTAAGTTCTACTTTATACAAGATGTTAACTCAGGTCTAGCAAACAGGTGAAAATGAAAAGGGTGGCTTCACATAAAATCCTTCCCTTTTCTCCCAGCAATTCTTTTCGCTACTTAAATAATCCTGAGCTGAAACAGGGGCTGATGAGAGCCATTTTTGCATATAAAAACAATGTTCTGGAGTCAGCTCTCACGTTCTGTCAGAAAGTCAATTGCTGGAGAGATTAAACTGAAGTATTTCAAACCATTTAGTACTTTGGAGGAGGACTTATAATTTGGTGTGGCGTCCAGTTCTAGACCCGGATGCTGAGCTTGCCAAGGAAGCAGATGCTGCTGCATCCTCAGCTTCCTCCAGCTCATCCTGTAGCTCCTGGCTGACACTGGACTGGAGGGCTGCAGGAGTCAGCCATTCCTTCGGCAGACAGCTCTGGAGAAATGGTATACAAGAGCTGAAGTAGGCGAGACGATTCACCCATCGTGGAATCTCTTTTCCACACAGAATCTAGAAGAAAAGGGGAAAAGAAAGAATTCATATTCTGGACAGAGCAGTCATGGATGTTAGTCACACTGCAGCAGCTTTTGCTGATTCTTCATAGTAATTATCTCTGTATCACAAAACACAAGTTAGCTGCAGGAAGACAATTTCCACCAAAAGTAAAAGCAGTGTCCCAATTTGCAGACGGTTTTTTCCACTGCAAGTTTGACATGTGGTGATACTCTATTTTTTATTTAAAAAAAATAATCATTACTATTGTTAGAGTTCTGATAAGCCCAACCACCTCATTTTGTGAATAATTTCCTTAAAAGGCAAATAAATGAGTTAAGTTATTTTTCATATTCACAAATAATTCCTCAGAAACAGCAGCTGAAGGAGAGCGCTCACAATGACAAAAAACACCCAGAAATGAAGCAAAAAGACAGTGTCAGTGCTACAGTTATGTGGAGTTATGCATGTGACTGGGGAAATTTTTATGGCTTCAAGCTCAGAGAGGGTAGATGTAGGTTAGATATAAGGAAAATTTTTTTTACAGAGAGCGTGGTGAGGCATGGTACAGGTTGCCCAGAGATGTGACTGACACCCCATCCCTGGAGACTTTCAAGGCAATGCTGGATCAGGCCCTGTGCAACCTGATCTAGCTGTGCATGTCTCTGTTCATTGCAGGGGTGATGGACTAGAAGGCCCTCAGAGGTCTCTTCCAACTCTAAGGATTCTATGATTTACTGTGATGGCCTCTGATAACTCTGGACAAGAGATCAGTGTCTTACAGCACACAGACTGTAAGTTCACTAGAACAAGAGTGGCTATACAATGCAAAGCTGCTTTCAACTCCTCAAAGAATACATACAAATTGCATTAAATGGTCATTTTTACTGCACATCAGTCATTATACGTTTTTGTTGACACTACTGAAGAAGTGACCTATTTTACTTAACTGCATCTGGTATTACTTACCCCAGTGCAAATCTGGAATAAATCACAGCTAGCAAGAGCATTACTCTGTTGTAACTGAAGAGCATTTTACTTGAAATTATATCCTTAGTTTTTAGCCAGCTTGAACACTAAATAGGATGAGTTAAAACAGAAACAACATGAGCATGAGTTCATGAGCGCAGGAAATGCCTGGCTATATTGGCCAGGTTTCATGCCAACTGCAGCTTCATCAGTATGTCACCAGACTTATTCCTACTAGCTTTGCACACAAATCATCTCAAAATGTTCCAGCACCACTGGAAATCAGACATGACGGCATACTCATTGTATAGCCTGTGCTTTGTCAAGACTGAATATTCCGAATAAAAAGCAGCTGAGTTTTATGGAAGTTTCTCATGGAAAACACAGCCAGTCCTTGTTGGGAAAACTTCAGTGAGCATTAGAATAAATTCTGATGAGCACAGGTTAGCAACTACTAGTAAAAACACAACTGTCTTTCCCTTCATTGTCCTGGGTTACCTGTTCCTGACTGTTTGTTTTTCCTGTGTCTGTGCAAGCATGTAAGTGATCAGGCATTCGTTTGTGCTGGCAAACTGGAAAGGTTAAAGCAAAGGTGAGAGGGAAATGCCAAGCCCATTCAATTCCTCAGTCAGATATTCTGCATGACCACACAGGTATCTACCAGGACACAGGCAATGGCAGAGGGACAACTTGACAAAAGCCCCTCAAACAGAAGCTGAATATCATCTGTGAAACTTCAATGCCTCTGTTATTCTTTAGCAAGTACTTGAATGCAAGGGCACTGTGTAATGGAAATTACATCTGGTTCTGTCTCCCACACTTGTCTCTGAAGTGTCTGTAAAGATTTTGGAACCCTGTTACTACTTGCTTTACTGGGTCTCTCAATTAGGAGCACTACCTTCTGGAACACAAGCTGCATGTAACAACATTCAGCATTTTTGGCAGCACAGGCTTGCATTTTTCTCCCAAGAACACACACACAAAATATCTGAAGAAATGGTAACATTTACACAAGGTAACAGAGATAAGAGGCTGGAAATTATGCCAAACAACCCAAAGGACAGGAAGGAGATGATGCTCTGTAGCCACCTGGGACACACCTTTCTATAGACCCCAGTGTTTGTTTACCTCAGATAAAGCTGAAGAAAAGTGATTGCAGTTTTTGTGCATTAGGTGATAAGCATTTCCTTTGAATTCTTTTCCAAGCTCTTCTACTATTTTTTCTATATCATCTTCCATGAAGTCAGTGCTGCCTAGAACCACAGCCTCTCTAGAAAGAGAAACAGAGATTAGGATGATCAGGCGTTCATTAAATAGGTGGGTAACTGTTTTCACATTGCTCAAAATACACCCCTTTGTGGGTGGTAAGATCTTTCTGCCCACCCAGAAGGACAGATTTTTTTCTATTCCATTTTACAGCACTATTTTCATCTTATATGAGATTCCTTCCTTGCTAAGTGTACACCTGTACACTTATTTTTCAAAACAAAGAAAACAGCCTTTTCTCAGTCAGAAATTCTGAAGTGTCATTTAACATATCTATCCATGCAACAAACTGTTTTTTTAACCTATTTTCTCAAAAACAAGAAGAGAGATTTTTCTTACTTGAATTTAAATGTCTCTCCTAGCTCGGAAGCATTTCCTGGAGAAATTTCAAATATTCCAGAAAAAGGGTATGGATGACCACCATAGGCAAATTCTGAAAAAGAAAACTCAGATTCAACAAAAATGATATGAAGTAAAAGTAAGAAAAGCAGACCTCTCTGACTGGTGGATCAACTGCAGGGATCTTCCAGTCAATGAGAACTTCACAAGGATCTAAAGCTAGACATCAGATGCCACATTTACACTTGGAGAACAAAAGCAAGGAGCTGGCAATGAATTGTTTTGTTGATTAGTAGTCGACCTCAGCAAAAACTGACAAGAAACTTCTTATATCAGCAGATTTAATTAATAAGCATGTAGTTGTTTTCATTGTAGAAGTGAAGATTTAAAAGTTAAATTGTAAATTCTACCTATGTGTTTTACATGTGTTGATCTCCAGAAATCCTCTTACATATTTTTAGATTAGAGATTTGAAGTACTGCATCCTCAAAGGTCTGATGACGTGCTACAGCTGTATGTGCAGCAACTAGTATTAGCCTAATACATTTCTGAATCTCTTGCTAAGCAACAGTTAACCATCCCAAGCTCTTTTCTAACAGAAAAATAAACCCGTGCATGGATCTGCAGTCAGCACATGACATCTGCTGGTGTTAAGTCCTTAGAATTCATGGAGGTATCACAGTATGCTTCAACTTCCTTCTGTGTCTGTAAGATAACACAATGTGCCACTCCCAAGGTAATAATAAAAAGCTTTAAGTATGACTTCATACTTCCTTTCCTAAAAACTTGCACTAAACCATCCATGTCTAGCATGCAGTTCTGTGGATAATCTTTTTTTTTTTTTTTTACAACAGATAAAGAAATAACGTGTGAGGTACTTTGAAAAATGCAAGTCATTGTTCCAGCAGGGGAATGATCTCTAACATGAGAAAGAAAGCTGTCATGACCTGAACAGGAAGTGGAGGCACATGCATCTAGCACAGCACAAGCGTGTTCAAGACACAACACTATTACAAATCAGGTCTTTCTGGTTTGAATTAAATGACATTTTAATATTTTTTTAACAACAAGCATTATATTTCATCAATTCACCATTGCAAACCTAATGGCAGTATTACTGCTCCGGCCACTGAAACACCTCCAGCATAAGATACTTGGCACAGCATTGGCATTGCATCACATGCCACCACTTTTGCTGCTCCCACTCACCTCCAAACAGTAAAAAACAAAACAAAACAAAACAACCCTTGAGGCTTATTTACTTTTAAACAGACTACTTATAGCAATACCTTCACCTCCCAGGCTGGTTTTCCCAGAAGGTGTGAAGACCTCAGATCCAAGCCTATGCTACAACACACTCATAAACACCCTTTTTGGCAGCAGCAGGAACTGAAAGAGGCCCAAAACAGCTCAGGAAGCTGCATCCCACAGTACAACCCATTTAGCAAATTCAGACTGTGCTGCTCTATTTATCTGAGGTCTATCTTTTTTAAATAAACAGCAGGCACAATCTACCTTTTAAATAAACTCTACAGTCTCTACAGTTAAAAATTAACTCCTTGCACAAGTGCCGGCAGAATACAGATGAAACGATCTCATTTCATTTATATGAAGCATACAGCTGATGTTTCAAAACCTGAGCTACATACTGCTATTTCTAGGGGAAGAGCCTGTAGACTCTTACGTAGTTGCACATACAGCTTTACACAAGAATGCAGGATGATTCCAAATTACTGACACCCACGTGTTCTTTTTTTCCAGAGAACTCTGAAAGGAAACTGATAAACAGGTTTCAGGAACCAGACTTCCCTCACTACCTGACATGCATTTGTTTGTTTTAGTAACACTGCTAGCACAAAAGGCAGGTTATGTACGTACCTCGGCCATACACCTCTATACCCGAATGGAATACTCCAATTCCAAGGGAAGAAGTATACTCATTCATCCAATACTAAAAGGAAAGAAGAACAGAAAACACTCCAGTTAGTTTCCAATACAGATTTGTCCTCAGATAGCAGACTGACAGATAGTCATCGCTCTATATCAAAAGCATGAAAGTCAACCAAATAAAACTGCAAAATCTTTTCTTTAACTGGAACAGTGTATGCCATTAACTATACATGGTCAGTTAATTCCATTAGGTTTTACTCCATGTCTTAGTGCTGCTAGTCACTGTCTGTCAACCAAGGAGCCCATATCTGGGAGAAATCCACTTTTTAATTATTTTTGATCTTTGACCAAGTTAAAACTTTAAAGTTTTCCCCTAACAGAGTACATACTTGAATCAACTGCAATGATATTGCATGAGCAAAATTGTTTTCGTTGCTTTTTTTTTTTTTTTTTTAGAAAGGACATCAAGATGTAGGACCAGATGATCACAACTCAAGAGGTATTTAAGATGGAATGAAATCAGCTTATATTTTGCCTTTGAATATTAGATTGCTGGACCATATGTATGGGAGCTGCCGAGTCACAGCCTGAACCACTGATTGAGCATGTGGGGAAAGGACCCGGTCAGCCCTGGCAGCACAGGTGAAGGCAATTCACGTGTGTGACTGGAAGGGGTGGAGCCTGGCTGCACCTCTCTTAGACCTCATTTAAGGGCTGACTGCCACTGGGGAAGGATCTCTAGCTGGAAATCCCTTCCTTGTGGAGTTTCCCTTGCAAGCCTAGATCTTCAGAGATGGCTGAGCTTTTTTTTCCCTTTTGTAACACCTTTCTATGGCACGGGTCCTTTTGTCATCGCACCTCTTGTATCACCATTCCACCACACTGATCCTTCTGATTGTTAGAGCATACAACAACCTGAACTGCCATTTGGCTCCTGATATATCTGACTCCATTTATCAGATGTCCTTTGCATACCTCCAGTTTGTTTCTAATCTATCCCTGCTGATCACTTCTATGATGAGAAACATAGCTGTACTTTAGCACTGTTGCCACTCACCTCCTGAAAAGGGGGGAAAAAAAGAAAAGAAAAACCCTTTCCTCAGTGCTTTCTGTTTTCTTTTTTGAAAGTAGCAGTGCTGAGTGCCTGTCAGCTAACAATTACCCTCAGCACCATCAAGACGCACAAAGTTTGGAAAAAGGAAACCCTCAAAATGACTGGCTTTTTTGGCTACGTCACAACTTTCTTTTTCAAATTGCTCCTCGGAGAGTGATATTATGAATCTCCAAGAAAGGCTCAAGAAAAATAAAGACTCTCAGGTGCGTCCTTAAAGCTTAAATAGACTAGGAAGAGAAACCCCTCACCAAAACCCATCAATCTTTCTTTATCCTGTCAATTTCTCCCTCAGAATCCTCCCTCCCACCTCATTCACTCCCAATGCACACAGCTGTGGGGCTGCAGGGCAGGCTGCAAGGAGGCAGCTCAGAGGGGACATGGACGGGGGGAGTACCTTCAGCAAGTTATTCATTTAGTAAATGGGAAGAAAAAGAAAAAAGCTATCTTACTCACACAAACTGTTGACATAATATGTGCTTTCTGATAAGAAGTCACTATTAAAACAGCATAACTGATAATAAAAATGTAAAAGGGGACAGGTGTCACGCTGTCAAGTGTGCTATCTGGAGTTAGTACATAATTACAGACATTTTAGTTGGCCTGGCATTTAATGAACATTTCTGAAAGCCATTTTTCTCCCAGTAAGAATGATCCACTACACTTTGGAGTGAGATGCCACTCATGAAATCAAAGTTAAATGGCAAAAAGAATAGTTCAGGCCAATAATGTTACAATCAGAAATAGATGTATGTGGCTTCTAGAGTCATCCTTATTCTAAGCACCACCAAATTCAGCCCCAAATTCAGCTACTAGCAGTCACCAAACATCACAGTTGTGCTGGCAGTCGTAGGACATGATAATTATCTGCATAACAAGACACCAAGGATTTGATGAGCTCTTCAGACATGCCAGCTGGGGGAATTCTTGTCAACAGAAGTTAAAAGCAGACAGATTTTGCTCTTTGCACATATTTAAGGCCAAGGATCATTGAGATCTGTGGATACATTTTGCTTAAGGCTGAACTTTGCAAGTGGCCTTGATGGCTGGCTCTGTTAATCCATCATTACATTAGCTAGTGGGATGTGGATGACTGTACTACACCATCACCTTAACAAGGGTCTAACAAATTGTTTCCTTCTCTCTTCTTAGAAAAGAGCAAGTGCTGCCAGTCCATTTGTATCTAATCCAACTTCTCAGCTCAAGTATATCCAGAAACACATGGGGCTAAACCTAGTTGGTGTAGAGAAACAGAACAGAGAAGGCCAGGTGAAAGTTAAAACTACCCAACTGCACTGGTAAAAAATAGATTCTGTTCACTGAAGTGAAATTAAAACCAGAACAATTCAAGAGCTTCTTAAACGTAAACCTACCTCTGAAGCTCATTTTCTACACTTGTCCACTTCATCATTTCAAAATAGTTTTGTATTTATACTTATAATCAATACCATAGGAATATTCAACACAAAGTTTGTCAGCACAGGCAAAAAGTGTGCTTGCCTAATGAGAATGGTTGTCCAGCTCTATGTAACCTCAAACAGATGTGGACAGGGTCCGCAGAACTCTAGTCCTCACCAGGACACCCATTTTGGCAGAAAATTCTGAGTCTGGCCGCTGAGTTCCAAATAACTCCCCCCATCACACATGTCAGATCTGCTGCCTGACAAGGGGACACATCTTACACAAGATACCCCATAAGCACTGGAAGTAATAAAACTAGCTTGTTACTGGGCAGGAAAAAACAACTCTGCTCCTACAACCTTGCAAAACCTGATGCAAGAGATGGGAGCACAACAGAAAGGCAGACACCGAGCTGCCTCGAGGAGCCATACAGGGGCAGGTGGATGGGATGGAGAGCTGCTGCAGTGCACTATTCAGCAAGCCCGTGTTACTTGGGTGAGTAGTGCTCACTGCTGGTAACACGTAAGTATGTGGATGCAGATTACCTGACTACAGAAATGGAGCAGTGGCAGCAGATTAAACACAAATCAGCAGCTTGAAAGTAGTGCCAAAAGCACTTCGCTTCGTATTTCCATAAGAACAGACTAGGTGAACTGAAGACAAAAGAATTTCAGTAAGGCAGAATTACTTTCCCCCCTAGGAACAGTAATTACATCTAATTATTACTTAATCTGAATCAGTTATTGGAAGGTCGGTGGCGTTCTCCCACTGAACAAAATGCCTTATCTCGGTGAAGAAAGAAATGCACAACAATCACAGCTTAAAGTACACTGAGTTTGGCCGCAGCTGAAAAGATTACATACAGCTTACAAAATAAAGATCACAACAGATTAAATGACATACAAGTAGCTGGCTGCTTCAGTGATACGCACTACAATCTGGAAACCCAAACTGATCTCAAAAGCTATACTCATGCTTCCACTGCACAAAACAGACTCCCTTCATTTAGTCCTGAAGGATTCAGTCCTAGATCTGAATTTTACTGTAGAAAAAAGTCTAAGAGCACAGCTCCACATCCTCAGCATTTTGCAGCAAGTCATTTTGTGAAACAGGGATTCATGTTTAATGCAACCATCAAAACAAAAATATTAAGGCAGTACATTTCTATGTGCATAATAAAGTCATGTCACTGCACTGACAGAGACACTAATCCCACTGCTTCAACAGCATCCTCATTACATTCTTCAGAGCTCTCATTTATGCTAATAGTTCAGATCGTTAACGCCTTGTTTGACTTGGAAAAATAGGATGCTACTTCGGGCACAAAAAACCTATACTGCTACAGGGATAGCGGTTTGTGATAATGAAGATACAAAGTACTCCAGCTCCAAGCACAGTCTATTGGTCTTCACGTGCCCCTTTTAATGATCAGAAAGCATTTCTGAAGGCATGAGCTACTACACATAAACATGCCCTTAAGGTTCTTTCCCTCTGTAAAGTTACCATACAAGTGAATAAACTTGGAACCTCTTCACCCTTTGGTTTTACCCCAGGCTTTCTCCTTATCGAGTGATAAGGAAAATAGAGGCGTATATGCTACAAAGCAACCAACTTGGTCCTGTGCAGACTTGAACAGCAGCAATACCCTGCAGTCCCTGCATGGAAGGGGCTGTTTTTGAGATGGAGCTACAGGCTGACACCAAACTTTGTACAGTCTTTGCAGTTACAATAGTGTCGATCCCGTTAACAGGACAAATAGTGCTCTCTTGTGCCCCCCTACACATCCCCTAAAAAAGAATGGGACAAAAAATATGCACCCCACCAAATAAAGAACTCCCCCCCCCCAAAAGTCCAAATACCCAAACACCCCAAACCACAACCGTGAAATATCAAAAGCCAGAAGTACACAACTGGAGGCACCTGATGAACAAACACAACCCCAAAACAGCTGCACTTCCCCCTCCATGCCACTGCTTTCAGCAGGCTCTCAGAGTGATAACACTAACACTGCCCAGGAAGCCAGGCTTCACTGAGGTGCCTGCTTCAAGCAAGAATAAAATGGACCGAGCGATCATTCTGAGAGAGATTTCAAGGCTGCATGCTGATGATATACCTCAGATACTATGGGAACCTCAACTTTTCTTTCCTGTTTAAAAGAAATCTGCTTCTTTAGCAGTCAAATAACACAGATGTGATTATAAAACAGCCATAGCTGAGGTGAGATAAACAAACATCCCAGTTAGTGGTCTATACATAGCTCGTGCTATGTATAACTTGTGGTGATGTACAGCTTCAGCAGATACCACAGCTGCAGACCAGCACACAACAAGCACCCCAATCTGACCAAACACCCACAGGTAGCTTTGCTGGCCTGCTTCTTTTGGAGAATGAGATCTTTCCGCAGGCGGTGGGCCTACAGACTCTCCTTCTCCTTGACAAAGAGACACAGCTACTGAGCACATCCCAAGGGAAAGCACAGCCCTCCTGCTGCTGCCCGTGGCTCCTTGCAGCCTTCCCAGGATGGCTCTCACAGCCAAGGTCGCTGCACCTCCCACATCAGAGGTTGCCATGCCTTCGACTTCACGGGTAATTGCTTGCGTAACAGCCTTGGAACTAAAGTCCTGCTTCATTCTCCATACAAGTATTTATAACTAATGCACACAAAACAAGCTCTTTTAAGACTACAAGAGCTTCTCCCACGCACATTTTTCAGTCGCAGTCCAAAGAAGTCCGGCATATCACATCCTTCCCACTTGGGTCTACCATAACACAACACAATGACCGCACCTTGCAGGCCCTGTGTGTGTGCTCGGCCAGGTGAGCAAGGCCCCGTTCCTCTGCCCGTCTCAGCAGGTCATAGCAAAAGCTGCTCCCATCCCTGTTAACCCCCCATGCTCCGCACAGGAAACCCAACGCAGATGTAACAGGTTGCATTCACTGGCAACAGAACACAGGCATGGGAAGTGGAAGGGAATCCTTTGACTGGGACACTGTTTTCTTTCCCTCTGATACCTACCACAGAAACCAATGGCAACAATCAGATGCATAACTAAGTCCAAGCAAGACAGCTCTCTATCAACTGCTAGCAAATACTCAAGCACCCGAGTACAATACTTTCAAGCAAGATGATGCACTTCTCTGAATGAGAACCTGCACTGTGCTCCTTCACCCTCCCAAAGCACCAGAAGTTAACTTCAAAACTGGTGGTGGTTCAAGGAGAACCCGTCCCACATGGTTCCCACTGCTGTTGTGAAGCCTCCCTGCCCCTCACCACAGGACCAACAGTGCTCAGAGGACAACCAGTGGCAATCGATCTTATTTCCAGCTACTGAAGCGCATTAAGGGATAATATTTCCCTAATATTACTTATCCTGTGGCTGTACCATACTGGTGCTTCCGCCTCATTTGTTACTATGGCAGCTGAGCAGCTTCCAGCTGCATGCAGGGCAACGCAACAGCTGCTGGAGGTGTCAGCCAGGCATCACACGGGAAGCCAAGGTGAGCTCACAGCATCGCAGATCAGGATGAGGCAATTCCTTTATTCCTGCCAAGTTTCGGCCATGCCAGAGCAGTTCAAAAATACCGACAAAGCACCCAGAAACTTTTGCCTTTCCGAAGACAGCGGTTACCCCCAGCCAGCTCCCTGTGCAGCGACACGTGCGGAGCAGGAACCCTCTGAAGGACGAGGACGAACTCCTCGCACAAATTCACGCTTTGCTGCTACTGCGGCTACAGCAGGGAGAGGGAGGAGGGGAAGAGCCCCTCTGCAGCTGCGGACCCCGCAGCCGGGCGGCGCGACCCAGCCGCACGCCAAACTTTCACTGCCGAGCAGAAGCGACGCGTCACCCCCGCACAGAGCCCCGCGCGGGTCGGAGGGAGGGAAGGAGAAAGGGAAAGTTCCCGGCCCCGCAGGCCCGGGGCCGCGCCGCCCCCAGACCCCCTCCCGGCCGCCGAGCGGCCCCGGCCCGCGGGCGCTCACCATGTCGTACACGTTGAGGATCACCAGCTGGTTCGCCATCGCCGGCGGCCCGCGGGCGCCCCGAGCCCGCTGGCTGCTCCCGTGGGGCGGCGCGGCTCAGGCCGGCGGCGGGGCGGTGGGCACCCCCGGGGGCCGCTTCCTCCTCGTCCCGCCTGTTGCTGCGGGGCGGGGGGGGGCGGCGGGCACCATGGAGCCGCCGCCGCGGAGGAACGGGGCCCGGCCCGCGGGAGGAGCGCTCAGCCCGCGGCCGGGGCCGGGCGGCGGGGAGCGGGCCCCGCCCCGACGGCGGCAGCAGGAGGAGACGGGGAGAGCGCGAACGGCGGTTCCCGGGCGGCCCCGGTACCGCCGGCGCCGGGCAGGCCGGGAGCCCCTCGGATGGGCGCAAAATGGAGCCGCTCGAGCCCGCCCCCACCTTCCGCCAGGAGCGGGACGGCGGCGACTACAGCTCCCGGCGTGCGGCGCGGCTCCCGGCCTGCCCGGCACCGCCCACCCCGCGTCGCTCCGCCGTTCCGCGTGGGAGGGGCGCGCCGTGCCGCCCGTGTGCCGGGAGCGGCTCCCGCGGGACGGGCCGTGCAGGTGCGTAGCCCTCGGGGCCGTCGGGGCTGCGAGGACTGCCGGCGGTAACGGCTCGCGGTGCCCATCGAGCCGTCGGCCCGTGCGGCCCCTGACTGCTCGGCGCCGTGCGCTCCGTCTGCTCCTCTGGCTGGCGGCTGGGACCGGGCTGGTGGCTGCAAACCAGAGGTTTGGTAGGCAGAAGCCGCTTTCGCATCAGGGGGCGCTGAGGAAAATGGGCTTGTGTCTTAAAATAGCAGTAGTCGAAACACCTTGTCTGAAATCTGTGACAACCAAAGTTCTTGAGCTCACGGGCTTTTCTTCGTTCCTTGCCGATCACCTCTGTTCCTCGCAGTTTGGAAGGTGTTGAGAAAGAGCTGGGGAGGAGTCAGGCCAGCATCTTCTTTCCATGCTCAGCAGTAGGCTGTAGGCTAGGCAGCTGAAGGTACTTCAGAGGGACCGGGCTCGGCACGTAGCACAGGCTGCTCAGGGTAAGTCTCCTTTAGGTACAGCTTCTCTGCTCTAGGCATCTTAGGTTCGTAAGGTCATTTGAGTTGGAAGGGATACTTAAAGGTCATCTAGTCCAACTCCCCTGCAATGAACAGGGACATCCACAGCTAGACCAGGTTGCTCAGAGCCCCATCCAGCCTGACCTTATGTGTCTTCATTCAAGGTCAATGTAAGGGGGTGGGGATCAGGAGTGGGCACTGTTACTTCAAAACTGTAATGTGTGAACTCAGGGACTTTTAATTGTAATTTTGGAAGGTACTTGGGCCCTGAACAGGAACACAGAAAATCTCCTTCAAGAAAAACAAAACCCTGAATTGTTGTCTGACTATGAAGCTGTACTACATTGATTTTACTTCTGCATGTTAACTGTTGAGTCACAGCCTGAACCACTGAATGAGCACCAGGGGAAAGGACCCGGTCAGCCCTGGGAGCACAGGTGAAGGCACCTCTCTTAGACTTCATTTAAGAGCTGACTGCTGCTAGGAAAGGATCTCTTGGAGATTCCTTCTTTGTGGAGGTTTTTCTCCATGAGCCTATATCCTTGGAGACAGGTCAGCGTTCCTTGCCTGTTTGTCCTTTTGCTATTTCACTCCTCTATTGTCTCCACCGTGCTAATCTTTCTGACTGTGACAATGCTGTAACATTTTACTAAGCTTGTATGGAGAGATCCGTTTAAAGACCAGTCTGATTTTTCTTTTGTCTCCGTGGGAAATGCTGTTGTCTGCTTAGTTTTCACAGGTGTAGAAACAGCGAAGAGTAGAGAAGCAGCAACTTTCGGCTGTAGCAGAGATCTGAGAGAACGCTACGGCGGCCAGAGAAGTGCAGAGCGCCCCCCACAGGTGTTGCTATGATCCTGCATGCATGGGGTTTATATGCAGGGAACATACAACAGCCCCAGGGGGCCGTCCTGCCCTAAGGGAAAGTTGGCTTCAGTAGGAACAGACTATTACTGGAGGTGAAACTTCTAAGCTGGTTACTTATTTTTTTCCTGATTTCCGTCTTGGTGCAAACTGTACTGAGATACACAGGGTATGAGTCACACAAAATGAATCAGTAACAGTATTTTAAAATGTGCTCATATTCAAGCTGGATTTCTACAGATTTTATAATATTTATGAAAATTTTTATAAGTAATGAATGTTGAGAGCAATTGTAGGAATTTCAACATTTATTTGCCAATGGAGTTCTGTTAATTTGTTTTGGAGAAATGGAACAATTGCCATTAAGAGCATAAGCTTTGCAAGGTATCTTCATTAGATGATAAGAAAATTCAGGCTTGGAAGCCTGACACTTTTAACACCTTCAGATGGTGTTAAAAATAGATGCAAGTATGACTGCTTGCTGATATAACAAATGTTGTAACTTCTGTAACCAACTATAACTCTTACAACTATATTATAACAAACATTTATATACTGAAGAAGTGAATAAGCTTGAGAGGACCAAATATGTATGATCCAAATACATACAAATTGACATTCTTTAAGCAGAAGTAAAATATGTAGCATCAAAAGACATCTCCATAAACACAAAATATTCCCACTGTGGACTGTGCTGAGCACTTTCAGAACTCAATTGCTGCAGCTCTTCAACAGAGCAGAATCTTTGCCTGCACTGTTCTATCAGATTTCACACTGAAAAATTATGCTGATACCTTAGTTGAATCAGTGTAAGCCATAATGTGAAGCCAACTCAAGCACGAGGCTCACTGTTGCAGCTTAACTTAGCTTGGCTTGGAAACTGTCTTTTAAAAACTATTAGCCACACCAGAGCTCTACTCCCATAGGAGCTCAGATGCGTTGACTGGCATGCCCTCTGTATATGAAACTAAATACATTAAATAGTATTATAGAGCTATAAAAAGTACTTGCTAAACCTCTGTTAATAAACAATGTATCACTTGTCCCAAACACCACTCTATTTTAAGTTTTACATCGTTAGTGTTATCAGTGAGATACTGGCCTTTAGGTTGATTGAGTTCTCTGGGAATCCACCCAGTGTTTCAGACTTCCAAGTGAGGCTGTATCTGTAGCAGAAGGTGGTGCAGACCAACAAGATGCTGAGAGTGATGAAGGAATAAAACTTAGCCATGGAAACATCCGACCTGGAATGCAAATAAAAATATAATCATTTTTAGATTCCTGTCAACAATAAGTGAAGAATATCTCAGATTTCATCATAGCAGTACAGTCACTTGGTACAGTAACTTAAGACAGTATTCATCTGGTTAATCGTTAGGTATTTCTTGTAATCTATATGGTCATAATATTCCAAATTCAATAGGCATGTACCACAGTGAGTTGCTTCTTCCAGTCAGTGGCAAGATTCCTTTGATTAAGAGTCACAAATAAAGCCTCCTTTTAAGTAAAACCACTGGAGCAGTTAGAAGTTCATTTGGTTTAAAAACCTCACCAACTCCAGCTATCTCTTATACAGAAACAGAAGATAAAACACCACAAGAATTGCAGTGTGAAGCAGGTGTTATCTGTTGTTTACTTTCAGCCTGCAGGCTGGGATATAAGGATTCTCTCTAAACACTTCTTACATAGTTAAATAAGTTTGTAAACGTGGCCAAAGCAATCCTCTCAAGCGTCTGGTGTGCTGGAGAAGTGCAGATGGGATAATGTTCAAATTTGATTTTTATTTCCATCCATGGAAATCCTTTATTTTCAGCAGGGGGCCATGAAAATAGGATTTCTGCAGAATGGGTGCGAGTGGCACAAACTGAACGTAAGCAGTCACAAGGGAAGCATCTGGCTCTGTGGGTCTTGCATGAACATGGAGTTACACCATATGAGGCCTCGCAAGCTGAAAAACACTGTGCTTGCTTTTAAGCAGAGGTTCTGAAGAAGCAAAATCGTTAAAAATGTGCAGGTAACTTCTGTCTGTATGAATCATCTGCACAGAGAAAGAACACAGTATCTTGCCTTCTTGTTTGTACTATCAAGTATATTTCAAAAAAAACAACCACCACCAACAAAAAAACAATCCAAACAAAAAAATGAGCAAAAAAGGAAGACCAAAAGGAGAATCTAATATATTAAATAAAAATCCATTAAAAATATCCACTAGCTGTTATCTTTCTGTTACACCATATGTACTGACTGCAAAGACTGTTTTTAAATCCCAAAAGCTGAAATAGATAAGAAAAGCTGTTAGGCTGTTTTCATAATTGAAGCAAAGGCAGGGGCAGGCTGGATGGGGCTCTGAGCAACATGATGTAGCTGTAGGTGTCCCTGTTCATTGCAAGGGAGTTGGACTAGATGGCCTTTGAGGGTCCCTTCTAACTCAAACAATTCTATCATATTTCCAAAGATTCTCAGCTCACCTATGTTTATTTACAAATAGTATAGTTCTTTTTTTTGTAACTTCCTCATTGTTTTAGAATATGTAGCAGGTGTTTATGTTGTAGACTAGTCCAGAAAATGGAAAAGTCATGGATTACAAGAATGACACCCGAATAATTTCTGAGTTAGAGCTAGGTTGAAGTGGAAACATTGGAAACACGTAAGCTGAAGGAAATCCTGAGGAAAAATATTTTTAACATATAAACCATCGACATTTTTTTCCATTTTGATCCCACACCAATATGAGTTCTTACAGTAACTGTACTTCTCCTAAGGTCATCATCTTAGGGAATTTGCTGATCTTACTGTGGTCAGTCTGCATTCAGTTTATCTTATTCAACCTCTACTATAAAGACCTTGTCTACTACTACACAGAAAAGACGGAATGTAAAAAAGTGAGTGAACTTGGAATTGCCTCAGAATTTATGTCTGATGCTTCAGAAAATATTTTCCTTCATCAGAAAGGGTGATGAAGATGCTGAATTATGGCTGAATTCCAGATGAGAAAATCTCATGCAGACAGGACAAAGCAGTAGCTCTGTGGTATTACAGAATGTATTCTATCTTTTCCTATCCAGCTTGGCTGCTTGATGGTTAAAAAACAAAACAATATGTCATGGTTTATACATTCTCTTTACGTTCTTTCAAACTCCTAACACTTGTGAGTTCCTGGCATGGGAATCTAGTCAATCAGACAGCAAAAATAAAATTATTACTTACTCTAGGTTTATTATGAGGTTGTATTTATCTGTGTAGATGTTGTATACGGTGTCTGTGTTGACACTGATTTGGCTTAAATACTCATTGTCATTCTACTGAAAAAGGAGGAAACGTCCTCATTTTAGTCAGAGAGAGAATGAGCACATTTTGTTTGGACAAGACCATGTGAATTAGTGGGTATTGTTTTATTTTCTCTATGGAGAGAAGATGGTTTGAAATTTCAAGTTTTTTAAGTTGCATTTTCCAAATAATATTCTAAATGCAGATTCTTCTTCCTTTTAGTGTATTGCTTTGATAACTCCCACATGCTTTATTTTTTTATATTGAATACCATGTTAAATCTAGTATACTAAATGTTAAAATGTTAAACTTCTAAATCCATCCATTCAGATTAAAGAAGTCTCAACATGTGTAAGAACAGTCATATTTTGCATGTAGACCATTATTCACAAAATACTTCAATTGCATTCTCAGTAGTTGGCTTACTTTTTTCATGGATGAAGTGTACCCATTGTCAGTTCTGCCTTTTATCTCCCATAATACAAAATTTGCTTCAACATTTCTAACATAAATATCACCATCATATCTGTAAAACATGGAATGTGATCCTTATTAGAACAAAAGAAACACACATACAGCCTTTGTATTTCTAACTGTGCATGGTGCAAGTAGGCATGTAGAGCTGCTGTGGCTGCAGAGGGTAAGATAGATAATCGGTGTCCTATCTACACTGTGCAAGATGCTAAGGTGTCCTAGGGCATCTTAGAATTACAATAAATGATTAAAACTTACATCTTAACAGCAATGTGCCTTCCTGGAGGGCAGCCAACAAAGAAGTGAGAGACCTGAAAAAAAAAAAAACAACAAATCACAAACCAACATATTTTAGTTTACCCAGGAAATTTTCCAGAAATGAGCTTCATCCACAGACTTGAGGGAGTCTGGTCACTACTAGTGGGTATAATGACTACAGGAACTATTGCACAAATCTGCATGATAATCCAGTACTGTGGCTCCCTTCTAGTCCACAACTTACACACCTTACTCATCTTGGACACTTTGGCATCAAGACTATTTGTGAACTTTCCTCTTTTTATATTTATACTTGAAAAGTCTTTGTTATTTTATGTCATGTTAGTTAAAGGGGGGTGCCATACAGTGAAATCCTCTTGACAGTAGGTCAGGAATTGGTGGGAAGCATTGTTACTGTATTTTTTCCAAGCTACATGCCTACCTGATGCTGTAATTTACGTGCATTTTCAACAGCGCGAGGCTTCAGTTCAGCTGACGTAACACCACTGGTCAATTCTTTACAAAAGAATCCCCCCACCCAAACAAGAGTTCATGTTATAATTTATTTTGAAATCAATCATTAACACCAAAGTAACTTAACTACAGTAATAGGAAGGTAATTTCATTTGGAGGCAAGAAGCACTAGTTATTATTACTTGCTGTTACTTTATTATCACATCACCTACAATGTCAATGTCTCTTTTGCTCCCACTGTAGTAATTCAGGCATTGTTGTGGGATTACAGGTAGATGTCTGAAACTGAGAGTCAGCTCTAGTAGTTAGTAATTTTAAATGCTTATTGATTCCAGAGAATCAAGTTTGACAGTATTAGATCTCTGGGTTACTTTTAAATAACGCAGTAGCTACCCAAGGATGGAATGTTTTATTTTTATTTGAGTTTGCAGATAAATGATACTGTGAAATGCAGAAAAGTGAAGTTTGGGTGGGAGACTGATCAATGTATTGGGAGATTTATGCTTATCATTGAACCCATTACAAGGGTCAGCACAATCTGGAATTAGGCAGATGGAGATAAGCAGAGTTACAGACATCCTATCCTATTTCACATTTTATGAACTCTGGCTTCTACTGAGGTAAAATTAAAGACATGAGACAACCTGCTGTGGCACTGAATCTGAAGTCTGTCAGAGACTGCTGACTGAGGCAGCCCTGATATGCACTACTTACTGGGTTGCTCCTAACTGTAGTTTTCCATAAATAAATCAATTTCAGAAAATCATCAGACCTTGAAAAGTATACTGAAGACACCCAATGGTATTTCCCATCTATGATCTGATATTCTGAAATGGCAAGGCTTGTTCATGAGTATTTTTAGCACTCCTTGAAGGAGAATATTAAGAGTTGAATTGGCAGCTTGATTCAAAACTTTGAAAGCGTAACTATTTTTGACAAAGAAATAATCAGGCTACTTTGTGCTTTGATGCAGAACATAGGGATGATATCATCAGATGCATATAGTGCTCTTTATAGCTCTATACTTCAATATATTAATGTTAAGACATTTGTCCTTGAATCTTAGCCTGAAATCAACTGCACAATATTTATAACTTGCCAAGAAGAAATCCATTTTGACTGATTTAGATGGAGGGAAAAAAAAAGGCAGAATGGCATATCTACATAAATTTAGTTTAAAAAAAAAGTCTTAAAAACTTTTTTAAAAAGTTTCAAAATCGTCATTGAAGGCAACAGTTGATACTGAAAGAAAACTGAACAGCATGCTTTTTGGAGAGAACGGGGAGAACAAATTCTGAAGTGATCAGACAGCTCCAAATGAAGGGCTTAAAGATGGACTTTCATCACATGGACACTGCGGAAGTCACATGCCTGAAAGAAACCAGATTTGACTATATAGTGATGCTTGCACAGAACACAAGCAGAATTGTCTCAAAAACCACAAGAAATTTTTACTTATGAAGTAAGCTTGATTCATACTCTTGAGTTAGAAGGACATAGAGGCATCAAATCCCTTACAGTCTTTCTTCCCAGGTGGAGATGTAAGATGTCGGGGCCTGCCAATGTTAGACCTACTGATAGATTTTAGGTTGCTTCATTGAGTGGCAGTGAGATTCTTGTGGGTGATAGTTGGAAGCAGCGAAAATGTGTGCCCACTGAATGAACTGGGGGAGCTGGTTATACAGGTCAGTGAAAAGGCAGAGGAACTGAATGCCTTCTTCAGCTCAGTCTTTACCAGCAAGACTGGACTTCAGGAATCCTAGGTCCCAGAAATCAGGGGTAAAACTGGAGCAAAGAAGTGCACTGGTTTATCATATTGGATATCCTATTAATCTGTGCTCAAACTCCAGTGTTTCAAAGGAGAGTGAAAAGAAGCACACCTTTCCCTTACAGTAATTTGGCCATTAAGTGTTGGGGAAAACCATACCTTTCTAATTCCTACAGCATATCCAGCGGAACACTTAAGCATTATATTAAATTATATTCATTTTCTTGTGCAAAGTTGTAAGAATTATGAAAATGTTGAGTGCAACAGCCTCTTTTATTAAAATACAAAAAACAAACTGATTTCTTAGGCATCAGATTGTAAAACAACTGCTTCACTCACCAAATCATTTTGATTGCAAATCCTTCCCAGTATTTTTACACTCCTTTTGAATGGTGAGTATCAGAACTGGACACAACTATCTAAGCCTCAGCTTTATCAATACTATACATCAGTGCAACTTGATCTTTTTTGTTCTTATTCATATTCCCTATGTTATATGTACATAAAATCCTTATAAACCCTTTGCCAGGGATGTACCATAAGAATCAAGATGTTCTGGGATACATTTTCAACTAATGCAACTGGCAAAGCTGCATTGAAATCAATTTACAAATTTAACCCATGAGTCTAGAAACAATTTCAGATGGCTGCATGAGCTCACACAGAGCCACAGTGTGTGGACCCTATTTCAGAATGTCTTTAAACAAACTTGTTGCTCTCTGGTAAGTTCTACTTCTCACCCTAGCATAAGAACGATTTAAAAGAGATCTAAAATAGATGTATCCAGACATTTAATGAAGATCATCCATATTTAAATGTCGAATGAGAACTATGAATAACTCACCTGCACTGGATAGACAGATGAACACCAGTATCTTGAATGCATTCCAAGTATTTCACTCTCAGGAAGCTTGTGTTCTGCTTCAACTTTAAAAATGTCTGGCTTCTCTTTTATAAGTGCTGTTTATTAAAAATGAGATTCCATTATCTGACAGAGCCACAACAATTATATTCTTATTTAGGCCTTTGGTCAAAATATCTGAGAGCACTTTAATTTCTATGTGTGTTTTGAATGCATCGTTTGTATAGAAAGTTCCAAAATTTGATAACAAAACTGCTGTTGATGGAAAAAATGCAGACCATTTAATAGAGAGTTCACTATTCTGAAGGGAACAAAGTGAGATGTCATTTTCCTTGCTAGGAAATGATTGTTTGGGCCTTGGAACTACAGAAGAAATACTTCAAACAAAGCACTCCTGAAATACTCCAGGTATTTTTATGATGATGTCATCAGATATTTCAGGTATATCAGCTACCCATAATCTGAAAATGAAAGAAACAAAAGATGAAATCTTACTGTTGAACTGTCAGAAATTGAGGTACGTTAAGTAATGTCATACTCTCAGAAGAACTGCACCAACAGCGGTACAGAATTATTTCTTAAGTTTCTTCTAATTTCCAGAAGGTAGACAATGAAATCAAAACTGGGAGAAAAAGATAAAATACTGCCTGTAATTTCTAAGCAGGCATATTCTATATCTCAGTGATCTCTGGGAACTTTCTGTGTATGCTTTCATACACATACCTTACTAAGAATTGAGTATCTGAAGTTAAAAATGAATGGCTGTAACATTATTATAGCTTCAGTGAGTAATATAGCTTTCCCTGTTACTGAGAGAACTTCTCCCCCACCTTTCCTATAGCCTCCATTGAGCCACCTGCAATACACAGAAGAAAACAGACTAACAGGAGCTAATGTGAAACTACACTGCAGTTGATGACTGGGGCCACTGATGATACTGCAAGAATTGTGTAGATAAGCAATAAGAGAAAACCATGCATAAAAGTAATAGTCTATAATAATATGTCCAGTTTCTGAAGTATACCGGGTATTAACAGATCTGATGGATGCAAGAGGTCAACATCCCTGAAGAAGGTTACTTCTTCAAAATTAAGGCCCAAGTAGTTCTATTTCACTACATCAGGATATAGCAGGGCTGATACAAAACAGTTTTTAGAACAAACACAAAAATTCAGTTCAGTATAAAGGAGATCTAGGAGGAATATAAGCTTTGTAACTTTGGGTTCTGAAGAAAATGTGATACAGGACAGAGACTTTTCCTATACTTGCAGACTGTCTGGGTTTCCTAAGATGCTGCTGACCTTCAGAGGAGACAGCTAATTTTTAGCAAAAATTTAGTGAAACTGTGAGTCCATCCAAAGCCCCAAAAGTAAGAGAAGCTGGCAGATCAACTGAGGTTGGTTTTGCTTTTTCTTCTCTCTTAGTCTGAAATCTCAGACAGTGGTAATCATCTTGACTAGTCTGACTAGAATTTGAATTAGTCTGCTGGCCCTGTGGTCTCAACAATGATGCTGGATTACTGGACACTTGTTGTTAAACCTCAGATGTGTTTTTCTGCTAACAGATGCATCAACTTTCAGACTTATCACAGTAAATTAAATATTGGAAAAGAACAAAATGATTCAAATTCTGTTCTTGTTGATATGAGTGCTGCTGGCTTCAATAAAAAAGTTGCTGCAAAATATCCAAGTGTGTATGAGAAGATTCAGGTGAATCAATAGACTCCCAGTTAAAAAAAAAAATAAAAAATTACAAAGCAATTTTATTTTCTCTTACTTGATTATTCTGCACTTCAGTTCTTTAAAAAGGAACAGTTAAAAAGATAAAAAAGAATACCAGAACTCATATAAGTAAGAAACAGTCTACTGAAATGGCCAGAATGTTATGTTCCCATTTCACCAGGTGGGGCAGAGGGGGATTAGTTTAGTTCTGCTGTGAAAAATGTTACAGAAAAAGCCCGTCTCTGATTACAGCAGCTTTTGATATGGAGTGTTGCTACGCTGCCATCTAGCGATTACACAGTTAAATACAACTGATGAAGATGTCTGAGAGCAAACCAAATCTGGAACAAGTACTTAAAACACCCCCATTAAAATCATACTCGCTTCTTGCAGTATCACACCCAGTTATATGTTAGCTATATGCTGAGAGTAAACTCTTCAATAAATAGGAGGTACAGTCACAAAATAGTAGTGAGATGTTATAACTGATGTTCAGAGAGTATATAAAACAGGAGTAAATGAAAGACAGATGGCAAATACAGTTGCAGGGAATGTCTGCAGTTGAGAATCCCTTCTAAAATGTAAACCCAGAGTAATTTTCATTATCTTGTGCAAAAATTTAGCTGATATATTTGGATTAGCTTCACTGGAGGTCTATGTAGGTTTAAATTTTCCAGATAATAAAACAGGTGACAAATACCTTTGCTAAGCATTAGTCCTTGTACTTTCACATGACTGTTATTTACTGGCTTGATCTATTTTCTTATGAACTCACAATCAAATAAAGTGTAACTTTTTTTCTCACTGCTGATTTTTTTTTTCTTTCACAGCACGTTGGAATGTATGGTGAATAGTACATATTTGTGGAAAGAAAAAGAAGTAATTGTCCTAAAATGCAGTTAGTGCTAAAAGTAGAGCAACTGACAGTACGAGAGACCTCATATTAGAATTATTCTTCTAAACTACTTGAAAAAAAACAACAACCTGTGCAGAAGTCTTTCATCAAGGGCTCCAGCACAGAAAAGATAGGAATAGAAGCAGATGGCATTGCCTCAGGTAACTTTTCAAATGTAAATTATCAGATACATTAATTGCCTTTTTGTCAATGTCCGTACTCAAAGTCTTACCGTAATTTCTTTATTTCCAACTAAACTGAGCATAGTTGTCTGTGTAATGAAAGATACATAATAATCTTTTGGAATCCTATATAGCCTTTGTAAGAAACTCCAACAAATGTCACCTGCTGGTGGATGCTGTAGTATAAGGAAGCACTTTGGTCCCTTTCAGATTTCCCTCAGCTTCCAGCCACTTTCTTGCTATCCTGTTTCCTATACAGCATGTGCAAACACCCAGTAAAAGCACGACTGTAATGTAAACAAGCTTTAAAAGGATTATCAATACTTTGGGCATTATTTTATCACAAATATTTAGAACTACTGCCCTACTACTAATCATGAAGAGTATATATTTAAGATAACGACGAACTCTTAAGCAAACAGAAGATGTCAAAGATGTTTTGCACAAATACCAGGTCTCAAACCTGAAGAAGTGCTGTGGTTTAACCTGGTAGGCGGCTAAGCACAACTCAACCATTTGCTCACCCTTTCTCCCACAGCAAGAACTCCTGCTCACGTGAGAGGTGTTCAACTCATCAGCTCACGGGATGAGATAAGGACAGTTTAATATGGAAGAGGGGAAAAAACAACAAGAAGAAAACAATAAATAAAGAATAAAAAAACAAGCGATGCAAAGTGCAATCGCTCACCACCAGCCAACTGATGCCTGGCCAGTCCTCGAGCAGCAGCAGCAGCCCCTCCCCAGTGAACTCTCCCCAGTTTCATTGTTCAGCATGGTGCTATATGGTATCTTGTCTCTTTGGCCAGTCTGGGTCAGCAGTCCTGGTTCTGACCCTTCCCAACTTCTTGTGCCCCCCAGCATTCTTGCTGGCAGACCAGTATGAGAAGTATAAAAATCATGAGGAGCTGAAAAGTCCTTGACTCAGCACAAGCACTGCTCAGTAACAACTAAAACATTGGTACTATCAAGACTGTTTGCATCCTAAATCCAAAACACAACACCCCACCAGCGACTATCAAGAAAAATAACTCAATGAGAGCAAAATTAGGACAACAAGCCAGCAGAGATACTGGAAGCAGTTTAGTTGACCCTGAATGACATTCTACCTGAGCTACCTTCTTTTTGTGTCACTTAAGGTAAAAATGTGCAAATCCCAGACCTGGAAGCCTAGAGGAGGGTGAATAACAGCTGGCCAATATTTTTTTTTCTAAATGAAAAAGAAATGTTTAACACAATAGCTCACATAGGTTCTAAAGTTCCAGGAATGGCATGACTGAATGGAGGGACATTGAACTTCAAGCTGGTAATCAAGATAATTAAGACTCAGAGACCATTTGTTACAGTAAAACTGTAGGTGATTTTGGAGTCTAGTCACACTTTCTACTACTTGGGCTTCTGTATATACAAAGTAGAACAATTACATGCAGAGAGTTTTTTGGCACTGAACTGCATGCTTAAGTACTACGGTGATGTAATAAAGGGCAGATAAACCTGCTTAACATGACAAGCTGTCTTCAAAGAAAACCCAAAAGAGCAAAATTATTACTGAAGCACAAAGTTATCCCACTGCACAAAAAAGAGGTCCAGACATGGCCACAGCCATATTTTGTATTTTGAGGAGTCACATCTCATTGCTCTGAAAGCTTACTGGACACCCTGGGTTTTTAAAGCCAGGTACCTAGAAGTTTCTCCAAATCTGGAAGTTGTTTATAACTTGTTATCAATCCACAAAAGTGCTACGTGACCATGAAAACAAGAATTACATCTTCTTGAAGAGAACAAGCTATTCCCTAAAGTACTCAAATTCACAAGACTGATATCACTAGTTCAAGATTGACAATTTCTAGCTTGCATGCATTTGCTTTTTTCCTTCAATTATCCTCCTTTTTCTGTGTAGCAAAACTGTTACAAAGAAATTCTTTGGGTACTGTGTCCCTCCTACTTTATTCTTGTTGACATGTCTGTTGACATACTTACGGCTGAAATAACAGATACTCTGATATGCTTCCAAGAACACTTTCTATAGTGTAGGTGAAAAAATCAGAAGAAAAATGACCAAATTATTTTATTCATCGCTCTCTCTATACTTACTCATTAACAACTGTCTATAAAGCCATAAATGTAACAATTTTAAAGAACATTCAATTAAAAAATAAAAAACACCATAAATAAATTACCATACCCGAATTTCAGAAGCCTCTCAGAATGGTATGTTTTTTGTTTGAAATAGGTCTGAACAACAGGTTTCTGTCCCAAAATCTGTAACAGCTTGCTGAGTATCTGAGATCTCTGTGTAAGTAAAACAAACATTTTTATTAATCATCTGTTTTGTCCAATTAGGATAAGGTTGTTTATGACAACCTTTCTTTTTAGAATTTCTTATATTGGAATCAGCTCTTATATTATAAAATATATTTTCAAACAATGGCATAATACCAAAACCATATTTAGTCAATCCATTTTAGCACACACTACACTCAGAATATAATTCTGTTATTTGTGGGTTTTTTTTCTGTCACGTCAGAGAACAAAAAACACTTTCTTAACATCTAGTTATCTAATAACAAAGATGCCTTCAGAATGCAATTAGTATTGCTATTTTTTTCTTCTATTTTATTCTGTGAGATAGTCATGTCAAATATGAAACAAACATGAAACAAATGTGAAAAAATCAAGATCTAATGATGACAACTTAAAATAAATAAACAACTTGTGGTGCCATGCATGCTTACTCTGTGTCAGATTCCACACCAAAATTAAATTCTTTCTGCCATTTGTTTTGATCAGAAAGCCAGTCCTAACAAAACTTACTGTGCATATTCATCCCCATAACTAATCCATGTTGGATAACCTCGTTAGTAAATACCTAACTCAGTCTAGAGATCTATCTATACAGATCAGCCCATACAATATCTCATTACATTTTAGGTGTGAATTAATTTATCACATTTATCACATTTATCACATTTCATGACTTCCATAATGCTTTTAACTTAAAGTATTTTCCAACAGTTTGGGATACAGGGAATCTGAAGAAGAGACTTAACTGTTACATGATATTACCAGTTACAATGAGTTCAGTATCATTTTCAAAAAGACTTAAATGTGACTGTATCACTAAAACCTGCTAACTCTTCTATCTATAAAACAGACAATAGGTTTCACCTCATTCCATACTCGTGTACTGCTGCAGTATTAACTGAAGAGAAAATCTTGCAAATGTACTTTTCCTAACAGTAAAAGGAAGTAAGTAAAGATGTATGCAGATACAGTATTTCAGCAAGACATTTCCATTTTCAGCTGGTAAATTTTCACAAGACATACATTTTCACTTTTTTCTAAAGTGGCATAATTTCAACTTACTTCTGATGGAAAAACTGCAGTGTGATTCAATTCAGAGGCATCTGCACTTTCAGGATCATATATCTACAAAATTAACTCGTAAATACAAGAGAGACAAGAGTTAATATGTTTTTAAATATATATTAAAAATCTATTAATGTGACAATATTTCTTCTTCTGACAGCACATAAAACAAGACAACAATAATATCAACTTAAGCAATGCTGATCCTGCAAACTAATCATATACATCTTGTTTCTTATTGATGTCAATGGGCAACAGCTACCGAGGGAAACAGCACCCATTTTCTCAGAATTAAAGGGGGGAAAGAGTAAAATTCATGCAGACTTTTTTTCTCCTGTGAGGCCTTCAGGCTTCCTTCAGAAGCCTTTCTCAGGGGTGGCACAGTTATATACAGCCTGTTCTGCTGCAGCAATGGAAGAGAGGTTACTCACTATTAAAACAAAACAGAATTTGCTTCTTGTCAAGGAAACATTGCAAAACTGCTACTAAAATGATGCTTCCATGACTGACAAGGAGCTGACACACTGCTCTTTCAGTCAGGTAGAAGGCAAGCACCTGGAATTCCCAAGTACATGCAAAGAGAAGAATCATTCCATGAGGCGGACTCCCGCCATTTACCACAAAGTAGAGCAGTGTAAGGATGTGCACGGAGGCAGCTATAAAACAGCAGACATGCTGTAAGTTTGCAGCCCACAGTTCATGCGCTGCAGTTTGCTATTCATCTACTCAGATCAAAATGCCAAGTTGTACAATCTGTCCTTAGAACAGCGCAAACTGAGGAATCCTACAGCTGCTTTCTCAGAGGTGGGTGAATAGAACTTGAACAGAATATAAGCTTGCTTCCACACTTGGGAGCTTCCACCATTTCTAGCAGGCTGCAAACCATTTATAGAACGGTTATTTCAATTCACTTTGTTAGCATGGACATGTTTATAAGAAAAGTTTCCGTATTTCCTCAAATGATCCCAATCTCTCTCACAGTCAAACAAAAGGGGGGAGAGGTAGGAAATAATTTATCTTGTAATTTCCTTATATTAAATTTGGCAGATGTTATGAAATAAGGCATTTTATAAATCAGATATTAATTTACCATACCAGTGACATGTTTAATCATATTCACTGAATGGGACACTTTTTAAAAATCTCAAGTAAACACACAAGTTCAAAGAAATGAGTCCAATAGGTTGGCCAAAGTCTGTCAGTAGTAAGCATGAATTTGTGTGGAAATTGTATTTCATAAAAAATGTAAACAATTAAAGATCTAGATACAAATATAAGGTCAAAGAACACATACAAAATTAAATTCACCTGGTGCTCATTTAAGAAGAGTGGGTCTGCACCACAAAAACAATAAAAAATACAATATTATTAAGAAACTTTATATTAAAAAAACTATATATTTTATATATGGTTTTACATAAAAATTGTATATATATTATACAATTTAAATCAATCTGCTTGTTTCAGTGTGTACATTGTCTACAATGTTCTAATACAATGTGTTTAGCATTGTGGCATTGGCTGTTCCATTGCATAACTGTTTAAAGACAAACATCTATGTTTGCTGGCGGTTCTCCTTTAAAAATATACTCTAAGTATCATTCACAGGCTTTTTTATAATGTAGTTTCCCTCTTACCAAAAATACGCGCTGTTTAAAGAAAGCATGTCTTCTGCTAAAGTTCATCTAATTTAAAGTTAGCAGATTAAAAAGATCAGATTGGAAGGAAGGATGCCTGCTGTATCACAGCATGCTATGGAGACTGAGCGTTGTGCAGTGGATCAGGAGAACAATCCCCCTTTCCAGTAAGGAAAACATATCCCTCTTTGCAGTGACATGACAGGGAGCAAAGCGCTGGTCATGTTAGAAACAGGACCTCTATGTGTCCTGCACTTGTGCTGCAGCTGGAATGGGGAAAATCCATGGGCTGCAACTTAAGTGGGAGAGGTGGGGAAACTGTTATATCTCTGATGTCAGCCATACATTAGGATTGCATTACATCAAACTCCACTAAACATCCTGGATGAAATGCTAACTCCCATAAAGTCAGTGCAAAAACATCAACTGCTTTCACAAGAGGTGGTCAATCATTCTTTCAACAATTTAAGCAGAAAAACATAACACAGAAATGTGTTTTCATCAGTGTTTGAATAAAATATTTAAAAATTAGCAATTATATTCAAATTTGATGAAAAAAAATTCATGCAAGCTTAAAACTAAATTTGCAATTTTCAGGTGCAGACGTGTAACTTCAAGTAGTGTAACTGATGTATAAGAGCAGAAAGAAGTGTGATGTACAGTTCTTTCAGGATGAGAGACATTGCTGCCATGGCTGTTTTTGGTTTCTTGTCAATCATGTTTAGTGTTCATTTTGTAAATGTACCGAGTGCATTCCTTTCAGCAAAAGAAAGCAGAAAAATCAACAGGGTGCTCTATTCTGCAGTAATGTCTGGGAAAGACATTCTCAAACAACATTAACATGGATCAAAACAGAAAGCATGCATGGAAGTTTGCTCTGGAATTGATGGAAATAATCCAAATACGGAACTTGCTGGCTTTCTATTTAAATAAACAGATAAAACAGCTTTGAGGACAAACATACAATGCTTTATATTATACAGGAGTTACCAGAGGGGTTCAAAAACTGAAAAGAAACCTACTGCTATGTTTACAGAAAGAGGATTTTGTATATTTATCTAATAAACAAATATATGCCATCACAATATTCCTGACTGGCATTATAGACTTCTTCCTCCTATATAAATAAAGGGAGCCAAATATCGGCGAACTCTGTGGATGAAAGGAGCAAAATATGAGTTACTATTATTGCCTAAAAACTTCTGGTTTTATGCAGGATCTCTATGGAACTTTTGCAAATTTGATGATAATCAGACTTCTCTTTTTCTTAAGGCTTTGGAATATAAGGCAATCATATCTCTAGCAGGGCTTCCTGCCCTGATGACCACCAACATTCCTGTTTGGACTTACTGTATTAAAACATATACTCTCATGCTTCATTACTAGTTTTTTTTAATTGATCTGCCTGGCACACTTGAACAGCAATGCACACTCCCTCCGCACAAATGGCAACTTCTGTTTAATATTTTAAATTCCTGGTTGAATACACACTTTTAGCTGCAGCTTCACTCTGGCACAGTATTCCTCATGGACATGAGGAGGGGCAGACAGACATGTCTGCATTCTGAAGTTCAAAAATCATTACTTTAACGAACATGAGAAATAAACATGGAGACTGTCTGACTTTCTTCCTCTCTCTGGAACGTTCTTTGGAATGCCACAATAGCATCCAAGATACTATGTATTTCTACAATTGGCTTCTTCCAAAATACATATTTCTGGACCCTGCAAGCAAAACACCTCCACTTTCTACACTGAAGGGGAACTTCTACTGTAACTTGTTAACCTGTTAAGCATATGTCCTGCAAAGTCTGAATCTTTTGGTAATTAATTCCCCCAGTTTTCTTTGTAATCTATTGCTAGTTAGCTGCCTTCTGCTATTGCCTTGAAACAGACTGAGCTCAGGCAAAGACTGGCTGCATAATACTACCGTGCTACATATAATCCATTTGTCAGTATCCTTCATTTTTAGGCCTCTCCTAAGTACAAAATCTTCCCTTTTCCTCTTCCATGAATTTTAATTCAATATAAAAACAAAGAAGTTCTAAATCTGACATATATGTATACACATATATATGCACACAATATCCAATATTATCCAAAATTTAAATTCCAAACTGAGATGTTTTTCATTCCTCCAAACAGATCATTAAAAAAACATATCCTTTTTAGTAAATATTACTATTACATATTTCCAAAAATATTCACAGAGAGAAACCTACCCTTCCATTTCTGAAGCTATGGTTGAATAGCATGTGAAACAATTAGAAGGATCAGAAGCAGGCAAATACTGCTCTTCATCTTCAAAGGTCTAAAAAAGAGAGAGATGTTCTGCTTTGATACACTGCCTTCCTAGTGCTGTGGGCTTATGTTTTACTTATAGCAATAAATGTGCCTATATGATGCTCTAAAACTTACAGAAAAAGACTTTGATTTATGAATAAACCAAATGAATTCAGTGAGACTATTTAGGAACTCAATGTCCTAAAACCTTTGTCAATGATCACATATGTAAGCTAGGATTCATGAACACAGATGCAACAGAATATTACAAATTTCTTGAATCCATTTAAAAGATTCTGCAGTTTCTTCTGATAGGTAACCATAATCAGAATTCAACACGAGCATCATCAGGACCAATCTCCTAAATTACCACTTAAGTTCTTAACAAAATACTGAACAAAAAAACCCTAATTAGTCAAATCTCGAGGAGGTTTTTTGTTGGTAAACATGAAGGAAATCTGTGACAATATCCACATAATCTGTGCCAATCCCGTTTAACAGGCAGGAAATACCATTATTCTGGTTCCCCTTATTAATCAAGACTTTTGACACAATAAGAAATGGAATAACACAAGTACAATGGTTTCTTATCTCTCATTTAGGATAAAAATCCATAAAATTGCCCCATATTTTTTAGCTGCAATCATACTGCAGAATGTGTACAAAAACAATCAATGGTCATTACAAAAACTGTTTTGAAATAGCTGAGGGTTTTTTTGTGATTATATGATAAGCAACTGCTTCACCAGAGAAGATATAGTAAGCACACAGATCTCTATAACAAGAGGAAATGGACATTAAAGGGATGAGTGTAACAAATTTAATATTTTAATAAAATAATAGGGGCTATCAGAAATCTCAGAACTCACTGATAAAGCCTGCAACCAAATGAACCATTATTACATTAGTTAAACTCCATTCTTACTTGGAAGCTCCTTTTCACCACCTTTATCTCTAAAGACAGAGTTATTTTGTAAATAGCTTATTCAGCTCAGGAACTCCATTCATAACAGACTATGGATGCTATGAGAGACACCTGCATTCAAACCAGCACTGTGTACACACTAAGACTGCGAAGAATTTTTACACGATTTATTTTGGCAGCTTACCTCAGTCTTTACTTTTGGTTTAATGTGGTAAGTTCCAGAAAACTGACAGTTCAGTGCTGTTTTGGGTGAACTACAATTATTTAAAAAAATAAAGACTGTACATAACAGAGTAGTTAACAACAGATATTTGTCTGAAAATCTACTTAGATTAAATCATGAAAATTTAGCATTTCAGGGTTTTCTTCAAAAGTCTGGGCAAGAACTGTCTCTTAAACAGAGAATACAATCTAGCAGTTCAGTATTCAGGTTACAGGCAATCTACATCTCTAAGACTAAAAAAATAGATAGTTTAGGACATTATTTATAAGCCAAATTAATAAAAAAACAAAAACAAAAACAAGAGTGTGAGAGAAACGTGAGCCTAAAAACATATAAAATATGCATTAAGCTTTTGGCTCAAGTTCTACCTTACCGTATACGAGATAACCTTGCTCCTGTACAGAATCAGTGACACTTGGAGGAAATTAAGAATTACATGACCAGTCTCTCTCAAGAGCTCTATAAACAAGTCCCCAAAGGACAGCCAGCTGGCAGGGCACACTTCCCAGTCCTTAAACTATCTAAGCATGCGGAATGGTATGGGCCATTTTAGAGGCTTGCACATCCTCACTGCCTGTCTTTAAGGTCACACTTCATCTCATTAATCGCCTGTCCTCATCCATCTTGTCCAAAAACATTGGGTAGGATTAACATCAAAAGAAATGAAGGATTTAGCAGATAATGCAGGTTAAAGATTAGCAAATAAAACAGAGAAAAATGCATATTCTAACCTATATTTAACAACAGATACATTTATAGTTGGTGTAGTAGATCTCACCCACAGTTCTTAAGGCACTTCCAAGAGATGGTAAAGGCTGCTGTTTTCAAACAGATAAAGCTGATGTAAATTTGGAACTACTGTGCTCCCCTCTCAAGGTGATACTTTTGCAATGACCATTTTAAGGGAAAAATTCTAACAAAAAACAGACCTTTGAAGAAGCTTTCTGCCAATTTAACATCATTCTCAGTCAAATCCTGCACAACATTTGGGTTCCCAAGAAATGTATAAACATACTGCAGAAAGTTAATGACCCAAACTATCTATGACATGATGCATTCTATTAAACTTCTAATGTCTGATGCTGTGAAAGGCCAAGATAGAGATTGAGAACAGTGAAATCCTGGGGGAACATGGTAGTAGAAGCTAATCTTTATTTGATACGTCTACTTTCCCACTTTCCTATTTAAGTTTTTATGGTAAATATTGAAATTAAAATGTCATCCATACAAAAACTCATTTCTCATCTGTAAAGACAATTCACTTGCCATGCTTTCAGGGAAAATGGAATACACAGATCTGAAGAACTCACTTAAAATTTCTTTCCTCATTTTTCTTAGTATTATTACATTAAATAGTTGTCTTTGCAATTCATAATCTACAAATCTCATTTCCAAGCAAAGCATGTAGCTTTGCAACTTTTCAAAGAACAAATCCCAGTATTTTATTTTCCTGGGAATCTTTAGTCTTGCCTGTTGCTACCTTACTTGCACTTGCATACAAAGGGACACCTCTCTAAAGTAGGTGGTTTGAAAATTTAAAAAGCATACTGTATTATCTTAACTATTCTCTCATTGAATTCAAAATACTGCTGTTGTGATGATGTTTCTCATTTGTAAAGTCTTTACCTTTTGTCTTCAATAGCACATATATCATGAAAATACCACTCAGTGAATAAAGTTCCTTCATATTCTAGATCTATCTAACCAGAGTTGAAACAATTGCTGTGTGATAGATGTATTGATTATGATAATACATACAACTATTACTTTATATTGTGCTTAACCTAGTTTTTATCATGACAAAAAGACTAATGAATTTACCAAAAATACTTAAGGAAAAGTTTAACCTGAATAGCTAATTTAAAAACAGGAATAAACAAGAATGGATTACATCAAGCACAATGTTCAAATAAAACGACATATCTTCTTCCTGTATAATCAGTTCTTTTCACTATAAAGTAATTATAAGATGAAGTAACAGCATTCTGGAGAGTCTGAAGTGCTAAAGATGCCAACATTGTCTGGTACAGTAATTCTTAAGGCTTTTCTGAACTGTGGCACTATCAACACATAATTTTTTATCTTTTCTTTTTTTGTGAGCCACAACATATCTTAGATAAAGATGCCATATATGAACAGGAAGCAAAATTAACTAGCCTTTCATTAAATATTTCAATGACTTAATGTGATAAATTTCAACATTTTCTTATTTCACATAGTTCTGTAGGATACCTACAGATCACTCTTCCACAACCACTATTCTAGTGCAGGTATTTTACTCTGTGTAAAATATCTGAGCAGACACAACTAGTTTTAACAAAAAACTAGTTGGGCCATGTGCTCTGACAGGCTCTTCATTGCTGTGGTCTATTTTTTCTATCTATATTCTTTCAAAAAAATAAATCAAACTGCTTACAGTAGGAAAAACAGTATCAGAAGAAATATTCATATCCTTCAGTTGTCTTTCAACATGTTTAATAAGTATGAGTAAGGTCAAAGAAATAACACTCTGTGAGCCATAAGGCATGCTGAGCAACAGTTAGTAACATCAGACGTTCTTGGATTTTTACATTCATGTTCACCCTTGATTGATTGAACTACTGAAGTTCTTAGCTAAATTCTGCTCTAAACAATGTAGACAAATTGTTCTATAACACTTCAAAAAAAATCAGAATATAACATTTCCATGTATATCTTCAACTCACCTGAATGAAATACAACAATTATCTCACATTGCTTCCAGTTTGTGTTTATTTATAAAAGTTCCTGTTGGAGCCTCTTGAAATGTATTGAGGCAGAACACGACTGAAGTCAAAAGCCTGAATGTACCTGAGTCACAGTGAAATCTATCCTAACTATAACTTTCTCCAAGTAGACACACTGAGCAATTCAGAAGACAATAAGACCTAAACTTTATCAGTGTACATTTCTACCATGGGTTCAGTTTTACAAAGTCTATACCAGGCTTGTTAGTTCCAGAAAAAGCAGTCACATCTCTTCATTCCCTCCTTCATTTCCTCCTTTGTATCACCTCAAAATGTTCACCCAAAGCAGATTTGGCTTGCTGAACTAGAAAAAAGTTAATAGTTCCCCTCCATTTCAGAAGAAAAAGATCACTACTACAACATTGCAAGCTCTTGCTGGTTCTCTTGATCATATTAAACAAAATCAGTGCAATTGGGTACTTCTGTACAGTATTATTCTGAACTCCTTATACTACAACTAAATGACTGTTTTTGACAAGGGGCATTAGATGCCTGTTGTTTTTGTGCTTTGGTCAAGAGTTAGTGTTTTTTATAACTATACTACAAACACAGTTAATGAATTGCGCAAATAATGTAGCATCTTTAGTGGTATTAGAGTAAGTGCCTCCCTTTAGTTTGCAAAGAAAAGAAGGTGGGGGGGGGAGGGATGGCAGATATATATTAACTAGAAATTCTAAACTTCGCCATACCAATCAGCACTGATTACCTGAATCCTCATTAAACACTTACATTTTTCCTGGAAGTAAAGAGTTCGTGGTTTTCTTCTGCAGTTCTATACCTACCAAGAAATCACAACAAAATATAACTTCAAAACTCTTTTACAATGAAAAATTTTATAATAAAAATAGTAGTAGAATGACAATGTGCTCTAGTACCTCTTTGGAAAGTAGCAATACACTAATACCACGTTATCAGAACACTATCCAAAAAGACTCAAATATATTTTGAGATTCAAGAGAATGTTTGTGCTGGCAATGGTTTAGCATTAGAATCATTCAGCTAAACTGGAAAATCATATCCTAAATCAGGACTGTGTTTTGGGGAGTCATGAGATGATGTACAGACTCTGTTTCTTATTTCAAAGCGACTGCACTAGAACCAAGTTTGCCATTGCATCAGCAAAATGGGTGAGACAGACTTCAGCAGCTCCTCATGCTTGTTACTGACTTCCCCAAGGCTCTGTCCAGTGAAACACCGTTGCTATGGTTTTCAGCAGTCAAAAGTATTAATACAATGCACAGTATCAAGTGTTAGGGGACCATTTAGTCTTTGAAGTGCGTACACACAATTGTCTCATATCACTTGCAATTGCTCAACATCTTTCCACAGAACTCAGCCAACTTTATCACAGAACCACAGAACTGTATGGGCTGGAAGGAACCTCTAGAGACCACTGAGTCCAATCCCCTGCCAAAGCAGGCTCCCTACAGCAGGCTGCACAGGTAGGTGGGTCTTGAATATCTCCAGACGAGACTCCACAACACCCCCTGGGAAGCCGGTTCAACTGCTTTGTCACCCTTACCGTGAAGAAGTTCTTCCACACATTGAGTGGAACTTCCTACACTTCAGTTTGTGGCCCTTTCTCCTTGTCCTACGTATGATTTTATTATAAATCTTTCTACCCTTACAAGCTGTTTAACCTTCTCTCTGGTGAATTGTACAGCTCCTGCAGTTGTTGAGGGGAGCGAACCTGAAGGAACACAGATGCAACTAAAACCCGATGTAACTCCATGACCTGCCCGATAGCTGCAGACTGCCAGCGCCTGCTCGGTGACTCAGGTTTCTGAGTAGCCGTCTGAGCAGTAATTACATCATTTAGACTTACGTCTTTTTAATAGCTGCTTTCAAAAAAATTCTTTCCCCTAGGCGTGTTGATTCTGTGAAGCAGGAAAGAATGAAAGCCCCTGAGACACTAGTTCCACTTCTAAAGCCTCAAGTATGCACGAGGAAGGCATTTCTCTGAGATGGGTTTTTTCCATTATTGTTCTTCCTCATGAGTAAGCTTGGGGCCATGTTGCGATGCCTCTGGAGAAAATGGCTTCTCACATTCACCCCGTGTTCTAGAAACGCTCAGTTCTGCGGCTCTGGCGACGCTCAAGCACACCTGTAGCACCTCAGCCACGGGCTGCTGCGTGCCTGGGAGCCAGAAAGAGGACCGGAGGCACCAGATCCCGTGTGACCCTGAGCCGCGCTCCGGGCCTCCTCCCGCCCCACAGCCCCGCTTGGCGCCCCTCGCCCCCTCCTTCCACCTCCACAGGGCGCAGCCTCTCTCCGACCGCAGCAGGAGCAGCACCAACACCGCCCACGGCAGCACCACGGCGCCCCACCCTGTCACTAACGGCCGCGGACTCGCGCCGCCGCGGTGGCGCCTGGGGCGGCCGCCAACCAACTGTTCGGTTACAGGTGCTGTTGGCGGGGACTACGCGCCCCAGCGTGCACCGCGCCCAGCTCCCGCGGCAGGCCGCCAGGCGGGGACCGCGGGGCGCCATGGGTAGCGTAGTCCACGCCGCGGGGCGCGCGGGAGATCGGCGCAAGGGCGAAGAAGGCGCCGAGAGCGGCGGTAGCGCCGCGGGTTCCCGCGGAGCAGCGGGGCGGGCCGCCGCCGGAGGGCCGGGGGCGGCTCGGCGGGGCGGGCGGTGCCGGTAGGCGGCACCGCCACCTGGATGCGGCATCCCCGCCCGGCCGGGAGGAGGCGGGGGCAGCGGGGCCGCCGCGCGCTGCCGCATGTGCCTGGAGCGGCGCCGGAGCGGGCAGCGCGAGCCATGGCGGAGCACGGCGCCCCGGCGCCCGCCATCCCCAACGGCGGGTGCGCGGCCCGCCTCCCCGGCAACAAGGTGACCGTCGTGCTGGGCGCCCAGTGGGGCGACGAGGGCAAGGGCAAGGTGGTGGATCTGCTGGCGCAGGACGCCGACATCGTCTGCAGGTGCCAGGTGAGCGGAGCGCGGGAGGCCGGCCGGCGTCGCCGGGTGTCACCTTGAGGCCGCCCGCGCCCCTTCCCCTCTCTCCGCCCGGCGCGGGGCCGCCGTGGGCTGGGGGCCGAGAGCGGCGGCCGGGGCCCCGCGGTTCGCAGCCCTCCTTTGTCCCCGCGCCGCGCGGGGAAGGCGTCTCTTCGGCCGCCCGCGGCCGGAGCGGGAACGTGCCCCGGGTCGGCGCTCCCCTTCCCGCCGCCGCGCTCCGCTCTTTGTCTGCGAGGCGCCGGGGAAGGGAAGCGCGCCCGCCCTCAGCATCGCGCCGCGGCCCCGAGGCGGTGAGCGGCGGGAGGAGGCGCGGAGCCCCTCTGTCTGCCTTGGGAGTTCCCCCTGGGTCGCTTTGTGGAGGCCTTGTTCGCAGAAGGGTTACAAAGTGAGTGCAGCCTGCAGGCAGGGCGCTCCTCAGTGCCTGCATCAAAACAAACGGAGAACCGAGAGGAGAGCTTTTTTTTTTTTTTTTTTCCTTAATATTTCTCTCGTAGCGATTCTGTGGAGTACCATAGCGTGAGCTGGAGCTGCGTGCGTTTTTTCCCGAAGTTAGAGGTACGGCTGCACGAAAGGCCCGAGGCACGTGTGGGCTGCACCTCGGTTCTGTTATCTGCCCGCTGCCGCTGGGTGCACGCACGAAATCCGTATTTGATAAAAGCGTTTGTGGAAAGAGCGCCTTTTTCCGAACAGAGTGGACACTGAGACGTTGTAGGGTCCAAGGAGAGCCGTGCATAAAGCTGGGGTTGTCAAGGCTGCGGCCGTTGCAAAGCAGAGAAATAAAAAAAACTTGGCAACTCGGAGACGGATTTGGAAGTCAAGAGATACAACTGGTTTTGCAAATGAATGACTTTTCTCATGCCCTGTGTTTACACAAACTAAAATGTGCTGCGGGGCACGGAGCACGGGACTGGTTTTTTCTCTGCAGCCCTGCTCTTGGGGCAGGCGATGCCAGGTGAGAGGCACGCGGTGCTGGTGCCTGCCGGGGTGGGGGAGGTGGCCAGGCTTCATGGATGTGCCGCTTTCTTCCAGTCAGCTGAGCAAAGATCAGGAAAGGGGAAAAACTGTGGTGTGATCTTGGTGGCTGTTTCAGCCCTCACTAACTGCTTGTGGCTGCTGCTGAAGGAAGGAGGGTTTTTTCTCTTCTTTCTTCCGTTTCCTGTTGAGGGCCTCATGCTGTCAGGGCCTCCTCCCATGTTTGAACTTAAATTAAGTCATCAAAATGGCAGGAAACTGTTTTTTTGGTTAGTTTTACTTTCTGCTGTTTTAAGTAAGCAAAACTGACTTGACCTGGCTCTAGGGAGCACAGAAGGATGTAAGCACGGAGAGGGGTTTCCCAGAATGAGAGGGAAGATAGGGCTGTTCTCTTCCAGCAGTGCTGACTTGTGTGTCATCTCACTGTGTGTTGTGCAGGAATACCCCTGATGGTTTTGTTGAGTAAGAGCATAAAGATGACTCTTGTGTGTCTCATAGTAGTGCAGCCGGTGAAGACAGGCTGTACCTCAGTCTGCCCCTAGCTAATGGCAGCTTCCTACAGTCTGTACTTCTAGATCCTGTCTTCCTGTTGGACTCTGTTCAGCTGTGTAGTTGCTAGAACACCTGTGGGTGAGGCCAAGTATTTCTGTCGTGTTCCTATGAAAGTGTGCTAGTACAGCTACTTCGTTGGCAGACTCAGTAGGTTGTAGCTGATCTTAGGTGGCTTAGAAAACTACTGTATTGGAACTGAAAGTCTAGGAGCTCTCACATGGCTTCATACCACCGTGCTTGGTTTTGCACAGATGTGGGCCATAAAAACAGTCCTGCAACAGAGCCAGTTATCACTCACTTTTACAACTCCTGTAAAGGCAATGCATGGAGTTACACTTGCCGTACTTCCTTGTCTCATAGGTAACAGATGTCCCCATTACTTCTGTAGCTGGCTGATGCAAGCTGGGGCACTTGGAACGGGGTGCCTGCCTAGGTACAGGCAGGACACCTAGTGCTGTGGCTGTGCTTCTTCCAAATATGACCTTGGGTTTGGAGGTTGTTCAAAAGATGTGAAGTTTTCTTGTCGTATTTATGAAAATTAGTGATGTGGTTTCAGAAACACCAGACTTTTAACAAACAAGGCTAAAGCAAAGACATGCCCAGAGGCTGCAGGTACGTAGTGTTAATGCAGCTGCTCTGGCAGCTGTGGTTGTGTAATGATGGCACTGCCAGGACAGAGGACTCAGCTGCATTTAATGCTAACACATCTGCAATACAGGCATATTATGTACTGGTTCTTCCACTGTTAAGTTTGAGTAAGAGATACCTGGTAAAATGATACTTCCATTAAGGCAAATACATCTGTGAGACTTCTGCACTTAAACCTACATCTGATGCTCGGAGGCTTACAGACTAAAGCCTGCTTACCTGCTGTCATTTGAACTGTAGTCCAGACAGTAAAACAGAACAAGAATTGGTTTGGGTTTCTGGAGCAGTTGTCAGGAAAACCGTGCTTTTGTGGTTTTTTATTGTCATAGTTTCCTCTTAGTAAGCAGTCAGCCTTGCTGCCCTCATAGCTGGCAATGTTTAAACATGTATGTTGTGTTTTTGCCAGTTCCGTGGGTAATGGAAAGTTAAAAGGAGAATGTTCATTGTTCTGATTAAGGGACTTCCTACATTGCAAAGTGCAACCAAATTAGGAAATTTGATTACTGTGATTTCATTCCTTAATGGATATGGGAATGGCAAAATAATACAAGCAAATGATATGAAGTAATTGTCTCATCAAAACAAAGAGTAAAAAAACCTTATTATGCATCTCTTGTATTACCTCCCTCCAGTGTACCCCTGTACACAATACAGCAAAAAAAAAAAAAAAAACAAAACCAATCAACCAGCCAGTATGCTGTCTTTGCTGCATGATTCTCATTTGTTCATTTCTTCAGCACACTTGCTGGTCACTGTCTTAGTTCTACAGGTAGCTGATTTATTTAGAGTAATACCTCAGAGATGAAGAAGTCTTCCAGAATTTGAAGTCTTCTAGAAGAATTAAGGCGTGCTCACTATGCTGGAGAACTGATCTTCTTGCTGCTTCAAAACTGAATTGAAGCTTCTTACCACATCTTCTCAACTGATATCAGCTTGGCAGAGATGGGAGCGGAAGTTTCCATCCGATCAGGCATATTCATATCCATTCTTTATTGCTGTGGAATGTAGAAAACAACAGTGGGTTCTGTGCTCTGAAGCAGTGTAGCACTGGACCCATCTGTGCTTTCAGCGTTTTTCTTCTTCCTTATTGGCTTCCCTCCCTTGATCTCATATCTCTTAGGGATAGATCAGTCCTTTTTTCCTTGACTTGAATGAAGACTTGCGTTATGAGTCCATTTTCCTACTTTTATGGCATTTTTTTGAGATGAGCAGAAGAAATTAATGCTGTGATGTGGTGGCAGGAGGAAAAAAAAAAAAGGCATGCACACCCACACACCTCCAATAGGGAGAGCTCAAGGAAGTGCATGACTCCTTTCTGAATACAGGCATTAGATAACATCTTTTTAAACTAGACAGCTAATTTCTGTTCTAGAGGAGTTAGCTTGAAAGCTGCCTTTGCTCTACCCGGAGGCATCCTGTTTTAAGGTAGACCGCTTGGCATTGCTGTGTCATAAGGAAAGGCAGTGACTGTTGCAGGCTTTGGGGGGCTCTTTAGTGCATATTTTAGTATATCAGAGCTGCTTTAAACAATTTTGAGTTTAATGCCAGTATCAGAGCCCTCACAATGTACTTCTGGTAGTAATTTCAGTCTGCTTTTCTAATAAATCCTCTTGTGCGCTTCAGCTGTTGGGTGAAGTTGTGGTACTGTAGGTCTGGCAGTGAGGAGGGTGCTGGTGTTGGCAAGGTGTCAGGGTTTGAAATACTCCCTTGCCTTGGTACATACAGATATGTCTTGGTTCATAACAGATTTTAGCGCTCTGGCTACTGTACTACACAGACAAATTCTATACACCAAGAAAATAGAGTAACTGCAAATCCTTCTCAGCAGAAAGACCAGCCGTAAAGTCCTGTAGGTATTTTTCAGGTAAGTCCGTGAGATTGATTGCAAACTTATGAGCATGGGAATTTCCAGAGCGAACTCATCAGAGAAGAGAGTTCTGGTTTGGGATTTTTCCTATAAACATTTCAAGGTGACTTTGTACTGTTTTTGGTCATTTTGGAAAATGAGATTCCATGCTTTCTCAATTGTGGGCTTCACTTTGCTTCAGAAGAGCTCTTAAGGTAGCAGACATTATATTAGTGTTATTTTTGTCTGCTTAAATTTTTTACATCCTGAGTAAACTTTAATATTGAAATGTATTTATGGAAAGCTAAATGAGTAACTAAATAGGAAACACTACTCGTACCTGCAGACTTAGCAAAAAACAAACTGAGAAATCAACAAAAGGAACCAAGCACGCCAACAAACAATGAGTCATTTCAACTTCAGTATTTTGTAATGCAATTCCAGGGAGGAGAAGGTGGGAGAAAGGAGCCTGACAAATATTATAAATGCTCATTCTCTGTGCTTTGTAAATGGCCTACCCTGAAAGGTGTTATGACTGGACAGCATGTAACA